AACCTCAGGTGATCCGCCCACCTCGGCCTCCCAAAGTGCTGCGATTACAGGCGTGAGCCACTGCGCCCGACCTAAAGTGCCATTTTAATCACATCATATCAAGTGTACATAGTAGTCTGGGTGCTATGGCTCATGCCTGCAATCCCAGCACTTTGGAAATCCGAGCACTTTGGAGGCCCAGTACTTGAGGCTAGGAGTTCAATACCAGACTGGGCAATATAGAGAGTACTTCTCTACTGAAAAAAAAAAAAAGCTGGGCATGGTAGCACCCTCCTGTAGTCCCAGCTACTTGGAGGCTGAGGTGGGTGGATTATTTGAGACCAGGAGGTTGAGGTTGCAGTGAGCTATGATTGTGCCACTGCACTCCAGCCTGGACAACAGAGCAAGGCACTGTCTCTAAAAAACAAAGAAAGGAAAGAAGGAAGTGTACCTACTATCACCTTGACTATTGAGGTTGGCTTGATGACCCATCAGAAGTAGTGTTTGTCAGGTTTTCCCGTTGTAAAGTCACTTTCCTCCCTCTGCCTTTCTCCCTCAGCCCAATACTATACACTTTGAAGAAATGTCATTACATGCAGCCTACACCTAAGGAGTGGGGGTTATGTGTTATGCTCACCCCTTCCCTTTTGTCTAACTCATACTACATTTCTCTTTCTAATATCAAAGTACTTTTAAAGAAAATCATAAATCATGAGAAGCTGACACAGAATTCCTTTCTTTTACATGCTAAATTCAATCTGGAATCAAATCATATTGATTATTCCTTCAAAATATATCCAGAATACAATAACCTCTCACCACCTCCATTGCTACCATTCTGGTCCAAGTCATCATCTATCTCCTAAGTTATTGCAGCAGTTTTTGAACTGGTCTCCTTGCATCTCTGCCCTTGCCCCATACAGTTTATTCTCAATATAGCAATCAATGGTCCTTTTAAAACCTAAAATCATAGCCTCAGCCAGGTGCAGTGGCTCACGCCTGTAATTCCAGCACTTTAGGAGGCCGAGGCAGGCAGGTTGCCTGAGGTCAGGAGTTTGAGACCAGCCGGGCCTATATGGTGAAAATCCCTCCCTACCAAAAATACAAAAATTAGCTGGGTGTGGTGGCGGGGACCTGTATTCCCAGCTGCGGGAGGCTGAGGCACAAGAAATGCTTGAACCTGGGAAGTGGAGGTTGCAGTGAGCCTAGATGGTGCCACTGCACTCCAGCCTGGGCAATAGAGCAAGACTCCATCTCAAAAAACAAAACAAAACAAACAAAAACCTAAAATTAGATTATGTCAGTCCTGTATATAAAATCTTCCAGGCCGGGGGTGGTGGCTCACGCCTGTAATCCCAGCACTTTGGGAGGCTGAGGCAGACAAATCACAAGGTCAGAAGTTCAAGACGAGCCTGGCCAACATGGTGAAACCCTGTCTCTACTAAAAATAAAAAAAATTAGCTGGGCATAGTGGCAGGCACCTGTAATCCCAGCTACTCGGGAGGCTGAGGCAGGGTTCATCGCTTGAACCTGCTAGTCGTAGGTTGCAGTGAGCTGAGATCACACCACTGTACTCCAGGCCTGGCGCCAGAGTGAGACTCCGTCTCAAAAAAAATCATCCAAAGGCGTCCCATGTAACTCAGGGCCTTTGCACTTCATGTGCCTAATGACAATCATTGAGATGTGTAACTTTTCTTTCCAGAAAGAACTTTTCAGTCAGCTGCAAAGACTGCAGTTGCCTGACAGCCTCCCGCTGTGGCCTTTGGAATCTGCCTTAGCTTTGGTGCTTGTTCTTTCTTGGAAGCCTCAGGTAATGACTAGGCACAGCAAGTATTCTAGGGCCTAGCCATTTCTGCCTAATGTGGGACTCCTCTAATGGACAGTCTTTGCTCTGGAGCTCCTCATTGGGCTGGCCAGCAGTTTGTCAGACATGCATGGCTGTCTGAGGCCCTTCCTGTTCTCATACTAGAGTTCAGGAACTGACCATCATTCCCCTTAAAATGTGTGCCCTAGATGCCAAGAACTTTTTCAGGAAAGCAGAGAATGATGCTCTATAGAGCATATATTTATTTATTTTTTTTTTTCTGGAGATGTAGTCTCACTCTGTTGCCTAGGCTGGAGTGCGGTGTTGTGATTTCGGCTCACTGCAAACTCTGCCTCCCAGATTCAAGCGATTCTCCTGCCTCAGCCTCCCTAGTAGTTGGGATTACAAGTGCCCACCCCTATGCCCAGCTAATTTTTGTATTTTTAGCAGAGACGGCGTTTCACCATGTTGGGCAGGCTGGTCTTGAAATCCTGACTTCAGGTGATCCACCTGCTTTAGCCTCCCAAAGTGCTGGGATTACAGGCGTGAGCCACTGCACCTGGCCTTAGAGAGCACATATTTCTTTGCTAGTTTGATACATTTTTCAGAATAGTGTTTTCACTCTCTTAAAAGGGTAGATGCTTATTCTGACCAGGGCAGCCTACAAATACAGCTCAGACTTTAAGATATTTCCATATTGCTCAGGAAACTAACAAAAGTGGGGTGTTGAGCAAAGTAAGTGACATTTCAAATCCTGACTCTGCACTAACTAGCTGTGGGATCGTAACACATTTCATCTCTTGTTAAATAGGGATAACACTTCTGTACTTTGGCTGTTAAGAGAATAATATCAGATACTGGTGGAGAAAGCACTAATACCACATTAGCTGTGGAAATAATTATAAACTATCAAAGGAATATTAATACAATATATACAGTCTTCCCTCTGTATCCATGGGGGATTGGTTCCAGGAACCCCAGGGATACCAATTTGGCTCACAGATACTCAAGTCTTTTATATAAAATGCCGTAGTATTTGCATATAACCAGTGTACACTCATCCTTATACTTTAAATTATCTTAAAACAAAAATTAGTTGGGCATAGTGGCATGTGCCTGTAGTCTCAGTTTCTGGGGAGGCTGAAGTGGAGGATCACTTCAGCCAGAAGTTGAGTCTGTGGTAACAGAGCGAGACCCTGTCTCAAAAAAAAAAATTAAAATTAAAAATCGTCTCTAGACTACTTATAATAACTAATTGTATAAACTAATTGTATAATACCTAGCACATTGTAAAAAGTGGTTATAGGTTTTTGTTTTTGTTTTTTTTGAGACAGAGTTTCACTCTTGTCGCCCAGGCTGGAGTGCAATGGCGCGATCTTGGCTCACTGCAACCTCCGCCTCCCGGGTTCAAGCCATTCTCCTGCCTCAGCCTCCCTAGTAGCTGGAATTACAGGCATGTGCCACCACACGTGGCTGATTTTGTGTTTTTAGTAGAGATGGGGTTTCTCCATGTTAGGCTGGTCTCGAACTCCCGACCTCAGGTGATCCGCCCACCTCAGCCTCCCAAAGTGCTGGGATTACAGGCATGAGCCACTGCGCCCGGTCAAAGTGGTTATGGTTTTAAATTAAATTATTTGCGAGATAGGTTCTCACTCTGTCACCCAGGCTGGAGTGCAGTGGTACAATCATAGCTCACTGCAGCCTCAAACTCCTGGGCACAAGCAATCCACCCACCTAAGCCTTCCCAGTAGCTAGGGCTACAGGCCTGTACTACCACATCCCACTATTCTTAAATTTTCTGTAGAAACAGGATGCTGCTATATTGCCCAGGCTGGTCTTGAACTCTTGGTCTCAAGCGATCCTCCCATCTCAGGCTTGCAAAGTGTTGGGATTACAGGCAGGAGCTACCGCACCCAATATGTGTGTCTTATTTGTATTATTATTTTTGAGGCAGGGTCTTGATCTGTCACCCAGGCTGGAGTGCAGTGGCACAATCTCAGTTCACTGCAACCTCTGCCTCCCCAGTTCAAGCCATCCTCCCACCTCAGCCTCCCAAGTAGTAGGACTACAGGCACATGCCACCATGCCTGGTGAATTTTTTGTATTTTTTGTAGAGATAGGGTTTTGCCATGTTGCCCAGACTGGATTTGTATTTTTTTATTGTTGTTATTTTGTTTTTTTCCCCTCTGAATATTTCCATTTGTGGTTGGCTGAATCCGTGGATATGGAACCCACTGATAGAGGGCTGACTGTACATAAATACATAAAATATCAATACTATGTATAATATCAATAGTTGTAGAGATAGGCATATATGGTTTATAAATTTAAGTCACATTCTTTTCTTCTATTCAATGAGAATTTAAAATTTTTATGTTACTTTGCTGGGGGCGGTGGCTCACTCCTGTAATCCCAGCAGTTTCAGAGGCCGAGGTGGGCAGATCACTTAAGGTCAGGAATTCCAGATCAGCCTGGTGGCCAACATGGTGAAACCTGGTCTCTACTAAAAATACAAAAACTAGCCGGCCGTGGTAGTGCTTGCCTGTAACCCCAGCTATTCGGGAGGCTGAGGCAGGAGAATTGCTTGAACCTGGAAGGCAGTGTGCAGTGAGTTGCAGTGAGCCAAGATAGAAGGCAGTGTGCAGTGAGTTGCAGTGAGCCAAGATAGTGCCACTGCACTCCAGCCTGGGCGACAGAGCAAGACCCCGTCTCAATCAATCAATAAATTAATAAATAAAAATTTGGGCCCAGCGTGGTGGCTCACGCCTGTAATCCCAGCACTTTGGGAGGCCAAGGCGGGTGGATCACCTGAGGTCAAGGGTTCAAGACCAGCCTAGCCAACGTGGTGAAACCCCGTCTCTACTAAAAAACACAAAAATTAGCCGGGCGTGGTGGTGGGTGGTAGATCTCAGCTACTTGGAAGCCTGAGACAGGAGAATGGCTTGAACTCGGGAGGGGGAGGTTGCGGTGAGCCGAGATCGCGCCATCGCACTCCAGCCTGGGCGACAGAGTGAGATTCCACCTCAAAAAATAAATAAATAAATAAATAAAATCACTAACACAGATGGCTTCCTAGGAAATAAACTGGAAGAAATCTAGAACTTGAGGATAAGTGATCAGAAAAAGGAAAAATTAAAATGTAAATTTTAGAATAAAAATTAAAAAGTAAGAAACTGGAAGAACTCTAACTTTGTCTTTTGTGCTTTCGGGTAAATAGTTTGGAAACTGTTCTTCAGGTGTCCGCTTCCAGTAGCCGACCGATAACCGTCTTATAGAGCACTTCCGGCTTCATCTGCCACTCGCTCCTCCGTCTACCTAGCTGGGCTTTCCATCGCGCTAGCGGAAAGCCTACCCCGCCCCGGAACTTAACCGTTGACGAAATGAAAGGTTTAAATCCTCGGAACCTTGATCCTGGAGCGCCGATGGCGCCCGCAGTTCTCCAAGAAGACTTGGGATTGGTCGAGCACAGAACCAGTGCGGGGCGCTGATTGGTTGGCACGCCAGTACGTAACGGCGACCGTGCGCGGCGCTCTAGCGCCACCCCCGCTCCCTGACTGGCGGGGTTTCTGACCAGTCAGCAGGCGCGGCGCGGCCTTCGGTTTCGCGAGCCTGTGTTTGCCGCCTAGGTTCCCGCGACCCCAACGTCCCAGAGGCGGTACCGGAGTTGGTGGTGAGGCGGTAGTGCTCCCTGGAGCCGGCTCCTGCTTCTACCCTACAAACAGACCTCAGCTCAGCGGAAGTTGCGGTAAGTGGAGCTTTGTGCTCCTGATTCCCCCTTGAGGGGCGGCAGCGGGGCCCGGGGAAGGTTGGTGGGAACATTCAAAGCCCTGTAGTGGGTTCCGCCCTCCAGGAGCCCGGAGCCGATGACGAGAAGGGGAGCTAGTGGGAGAAATTAAGCATTCCATGAAATCTTTGGGTATGATCTGAGCTAAGATATGTGAAAGAGGTTTGCAGTCGATAACGTGCCATTTAAAGTTGTTTTTATGGTGGGAGTTTCTTGAGGCCTGAAACCTTGAATGCTCCCTCTTGCATTCCTCACAATTTCTGGCTTACACTCTGCTACGTAGTAAAGGGATCAGTTAATGTTTGAAGTTCGTGGACTACTGGAAGTAAAGTGTAAGCCGCAAAGTGCGAGAATGCTATGCGTGTGAGTACAGAGACAGTATAGTACCATCACCAGGGTGTTTGGGAGAAGGTTTCACAGAGGAAGTGACATTCGAGTTGGATTGTGAGGGATGGCGGGGGTTTACCAGGGCATTCCAAGTTAAGGGGGGCAGCCTGTGCAGATACTGAAACCGGGGCACTGCAAGTAGTTCAGTTTGACTGGAATGTAGGATGAGTGGATGGGGGTTAAGGTTGGAATAATAGAGTGGGGCTGGATTGTGAAGATCCTTTATTCTGTGTGTAAAGAAGAGCCATCGGCTTTTTTAAAACAATTAGTTTTATTTTTGAGACGCAGTTTCACTCTTTGGCCCGGGCTGGAGTGAAGTGGCACGATCTTGGCTCACAGCAAACTCCGTCCCCCGGGTTCAAGCGATTCTCCTGCCTCAGCCTCCCTAGTAGCTGGGATTATGGGCACATGCCAGCACGCTCAGCAGTTTTTTATATTTTTACTAGGGACAGGGTTTCACCATATTGGCCGGGCTGGTCTCGAACTCCTGACTTCAGGTGATCCACCCACCTCGGCCTCCCAAAATGTTGAGATTACAGGCGTGAGCCACCGCACCTGACATGAGCCATTGACTTTTAAAGCAGGAGAATAATTTGATCAGATTTATATGGGAATACCCTTCTAGCAGCACTGTGGGGACTTTTCCGTAAGTACCGTGAGAGTTGATGAAGTTAGCAGCTGAGTTGGTGGGTATGGAAAGATTATTTGTATGGAAGAAGGGGTGAGGATGATTTGAAGGTTTCTATTGTATACGATGATGCCTTCACCTGAGAATATGTTTTGCTAGGTATAGATGTTGTGTGGTTTTAGTTTCATTAGCTTTAATTGCTTGTACAACACTGACAGTGAAACTACCTTATGTATATTGTTTTAAAATGAGAAATCAACATTATCCATCTTTTCACTCCAATGAATAAAGAAGACACAAATAGCACATTTTAAGATACTTCTGTTTAATGAAGAAAAAATTGGCACTTTTTATACTTTGTAGAGTTATAGTTATCCACGTGAATACTGTTATCCATGACAACCAAGTACTAAGGAAGGGTTTTAGGATTTAAAGCCTGCATTCCATGGAAGCTGCATTAAACCTTTTAAGTCCAGATATTTCTAAGAAGGACTTTTTAGTCAACTTTTTTTTTTTGAGACGGAGTCTCGCTCTGTCGCCCAGGCTAGAGTTCAGTGGTGCAATCTCCACTCACTGCAAGCTCCGCCTCCTGGGTTCATGCCATTCTCCTGCCTCAGCCTCCCGAGTAGCTGGGACTACAGGTGACCGCCACCACGCCCCACTAATTTTTTGTATTTTTAGTAGAGACGGGGTTTCACCATGTTAGCCTGGATGGTCTCAATCTCCTGACCTCGTAATCTGCCTGCTTTGGCCTCCCAAAGTGTTGGGATTACAGGCATGAGCCACCGTGCCCGGCCTAGTCAACTTTATTAAGAACACATTTTTCTCTGCCTTGAACAAGGTATAAGAGCACTTTCAATAGGATTTTCAGCCTCTGACTTTATCCAAAAAGTCTCTTCTAAATAATTTCTGCACCTGGATTAATTATCCTTTTCTCCTTTATCTTGCTTCACACAGAGTGAGACAGAGACTCACTCTCTTGCCCAGGCTGGAGTTCAGTGGGACAATCTCGGCTCACTGCAACCTCTGCCTCCCAGGTTCAGATGATTCTCCTGCCCCAGCCTCCTGGCTAGCCGGGATTACAGGTGTGCACCACCATGCCCAGCTAATTTTTGTGTTTTTAGTAGAGAAGGGGTTTCACCATGTTGGCCAGGATAGTCTCAGACTCCTGACCTCAGGTGATCCACCTGCCTCAGCCTCCCAAAGTGCTGGAATTACAGGAATGAGCCACCACACCCGGCCTTAGACAGTTTCTTTTTCCTAGAATTGATACAGAATGTTCAGGACCTAAAGAACTCTAAGACTTGAAAGAATATAGGACATACTAAACTCTAAAGAAAGGACTATGAGGTCTTAGATGGAACTATCCAGTGGGCAGTTAGAAATATGGATTTGAAACATCCAGGCATGGCGGCTCATGCCTATAATCCCAGCACTTTTCGAGGCTAAGGCGGATGGATTGCTTTAGTCCAAGAGTTCGAGACCAGCCTGGGCAACATGACAAAACCCTGTCTCTACAAAAAACACAAAAAAATTAGCCAGGTGCGGTAGTGAATGCCTGTGGTCCCAGCTATTCGGGAGGCTGAGGTGGGAGGATCACCTGAGCTCAGGTGGTGGAGGTTGCAGTGAGCTGAGATTGCATCACTGTACTACTTCAGCCTGGGCTACAGAGTGAGACCCTGTCTCAAAAGAGAAAAAAAAAAAGAAAATGGATTTGAAACTCAGAAGAGAGGTGGAGCTAAAGGTTTGCTATAGATAGGTGAGTGTAGAAGCAATAGGAGTGGAGGAGAGTATCCAGAGAGAGCATCTGGAGTTAAAAAAAGAATACTGGGCTGGGTGCAGTGGCTCACGCCTATAATCCCAGCACTTTGGGAGGCCAAGGTGGGCGGATCATGAGGTCAAATCGGGACCATCCCGGCCAACATGGTGAAACCCCATCTCTACTAAAAATACAAAAATTAGCTGGGTGTGGTGGCATGCACCTGTAGTCCCAGCTACTCAGAAGGCTGAGGCAGGAGAATCACTTGAACTCAGGAGGCAGAGGTTGCAGTGAGCTGAGATTGCGCTGCTGCATTCCAGCCTAACGACAGAACGAGACTGCATCTCAAAAAAAAGGAAAAAAAGTACACTGATTTTTTTAGTGACACAAGTCAGTTTGTGGGAATGCAGTACTTTTTTTTTTCCACTGAAGATTCTTTAATGACTTCATTGTAGGCCCAATAAATATCTAACCCAAATCATTCTTTTCTGCTGCTTCATGGTTTTATGAGGATTGTAAGGCTTTTGGTCAAAATCTCATACATTTAGTACGACCTGCCCTATCAAGCTCACTAAGTTGATACCAAGGTTTTGGGGCAGAATCTGAGCTTTCCTTAAGGGATAGGTATATTGGTAGATTTTGCTGCCTAGAATAAATATTCACAGTAATTTATTGGCAGAATGACTGTAACATATGAAAATGATTGGCAGAATCTACAAGCATTTAATCTTATTAATCTGTAGTCACACTTCATATAAGAAGTAATCTAATTTTGCCTGTAATTTTAATATGTGGTTAAATCATATTTTTCTTCTTTGTTTTTATCATTCATTAGTAATATTCTCTTTAATTCTTTAGGATACTGAGGATTTGAAATTAAAGAAATCATTCACCAGACATTATGGAGCCTATATATCCTCTTGCATGGCCCCAGATGAATACCAGGTATAGAAGTATTTTTACAAATACTTGTCTTACAGCTGTTCACATAACTTGGGAAGGTAGGTTGGAAGAGAAAAAAGAACATAATCTTTTTTTTTTTTTTTTTTTTTTGAGACAGAGTTTCGCTCTGTTGAATTTTAATATGTATGCTGGAAATCATATTTTCTTTCTTGTTTTTATCATTCATTAGTAATATTCTCTTTAATTCTTTAGGATACTGAGGATTTGAAATTAAAGAAATCATTCACCAGACATTATGGAGCCTATATATCCTCTTGCATGGCCCCAGATGAATACCAGGTATAGAAGTATTTTTACAAATACTTGTCCCTACAGCTGTTCACATAACTTGGGAAGAAGAGAAAAAGAACATGAATCTTTTTTTGAGACAGAGTTTCGCTCTGTTGCCCAGGCTGGAGTGCAGTGGCCACATCTCAGCTCACTGCAAGCTCTGACTCCCGGGTTTACGCCATTCTCCTGCCTCAGCCTCCGGAGTAGCTGGGACTACAGGCGCCCACCACCTCGCCCGGCTAGTTTTTTGTATTTTTTAGTAGAGATGGGGTTTCACCATATTAGCCAGGATGGTCTCGATCTCCTGACCTCGTGATCCACCCGTCTCGGCCTCCCAAAGTGCTGGGATTACAGGCTTGAGCCACCGCGCCCGGCCGAACATAATCTTTAGAATCAGGAAACTCTGGGTTCATATCCCAGCTCTACCACTTGTTAGGTAGGTTACCTTGATCAAGTTAATTAACTAAGCCTCAGTTCCTCATCTGTAAAATGAGGATGGTAATCTCTGTCTCACAGAAGATTACTGTGAAAGGTTAAATAAGATTACTAAACTAAAGGTTTTAGTAATCTTATTTAAGATTACTAAACTGAAGATTACTAAACTTACTATTACTAAACTAGTACATAATAGGCACTCAGTAAATACTAGTTCCGTCCCCTCCTTCAGTTATTTTCATAACACAGATCTTTATTGACGGGAAATAGTACCTGAACTTAAGAGGCTAAAAATTACCTCAGTGTTTGTTTACTTTCTAGACAAGTGGGAAAGTGGTCGGGTTCCTTCCCTCTTACAAATACTAATTCCTTGATGTGAATAATTTCACATTAGGTATACCAAATTTCCTCAGATGTTCCTAAGCCTTTGTCATGTGAAGTAGGAGCTTGCCACCTGTCTCCCAATTTTCTCTGTCCCTAGTTACTATGGGGACTGGGCAAATCAACTTGTATTGTTTGGCTCTTTGGATCATTTATTGCTCTTTTTTCCCCTAGGGAACAACAATTAATGCTGACATGTGCATTTTTTTTTTCCTTCCAAACTAGAATTACATTCATGGGTCCCCTTTATTCTCTGTAATGTCTTTCTTTGTGCCAGATGTTCTTGATGAACATAATGGGAAACATGACCCAAGGAGGCTATCATATTCCTTTTGCTTTAATTTTGGCTCTTGTGTTCTACCCCCCTGCCATCTCTTATTTGAAAATGTGTCGGCGCGGTGGCTCAAGCCTGTAATCCCAGCACTTTGGGAGGCCGAGATGGGCGGATCACGAGGTCAGGAGATGGAGACCATCCTAGCTAACACGGTGAAACCCCATCTCTACTAAAAACAAATACAAAAAATTAGCCGGGCGTGGTGGCGGGCACCTGTAGTCCCAGCTACTCGGGAGGCTGAGGCAGGAGAATGGTGTGAACCCGGGAGGCAGAGCTTGCAGTGAGCCGAGATGGCGCCACTGCACTCCAGTCTGGGCAACAGAGCCAGACTCCGTCTCTAAAAAAAAAAAAAAAAAGAAATTTGTCAGTGGGCCAGGTGGTTCATGCCTGTAATCCCAGCACTTTGGGAGGCTGAGGTGGGCAGATTGCTTGAGCTCAGGAGTTCAAAATCAGCCTGGGCAACATGGGAAACCCCGTGTAGACAGAAAAATTTTCTCAACTTCTGTTCTTAGAAGGGTACAGTTGTGTAACAAGTTCAGTATATTTTGTTTCTAATTTTAAAAATTTAAATTTTTGTGGGTACGTGGTATATATGTTTATGGGGTATATGACATTTTTATAAGGCATGCAATGTGTAATAATCATATATGGGAAGTAGGGTATCCATCCCCTTAAGCATTTATCTTTTGTGTTACAGACAATCCAACTGTACACTTAGTTACTATTTTTTTATTTTTTATTTTTATTTTTTGGAGACAGTCTCACTTTGTCGCCCATGCTGGTTTCGCCCTGTTGGCCAGGCTGGTCTCGAACTCCTGGCCTCAAGTGATCCACCTCCCTTGGCCTCCCAAAATGCTGACATTATAGGTGTGAGCAACCGGGCCTGGCCCCATTAGTGGTCTTTTTCTTGTTGTGGTTTTCCTGTATTATTCATTCATGTAAAATGAAAAGTTTTTTATGGTAGCCTATATGATTTAATATTGAAACCTTGCTTCACACTGCCCCTGCCATCTTTGTTGAGGAATTATTTATAATTATGTCCTTTTGATGCTTCAGTAATTAAACTTGTGCAGTATTTTGTTATTCCAAAATACCAACTTTGGAAACACTGGAAAATAATTAAGAATCTATTAAGGTTTTTTGCTTTTCATAACTATCGGGTATTGTCTAGCAATTATCTGAAATTAGTTCAGAAAGACAGATTTTAGTCCAGGAGCCATGGCTCATGCCTATAATACCAGTATTTTGGGAGGCCAAGGTGGGAAGATTGCTTGAAACCATGAGTTCAAGACCAGTCTGGGGAACATAGTGGGACCCTGTGTCTACAAAAAATACGAAAGTAAACCTCACGTGGTGGTGCACATTTGTGGTCCTAGCTGCCCTAGAGGCTCCCTTGAGCCCAGGAGTTTAAGGCTGCAGTGAGCTACGATTGTGCCCCTGCGCTCCAGCTTGGGCAGCAGAGCAAGGCCCTGCTCTTTAAAAAAAAAAAAAAAAAAGAAAAGAAAAGAAAGATTTTAGTTTAAATTTAAATGTAAATTTATGATTTATACTCGTTTTTCTGTTACTTAAAAGGGACTTTATAGGATTGTCTTGTTCTTTTTTAAAAGCTTGTGTATATATAAATTTACATATGCATAGATAAAAAGGACAAATAAGCCAAATTTTGAGTGTCTATTCTCCTGGTAGTAGAGTTACAAGTGAGTTTTCTTTTTTAAAAAATATATTTTGGGCCGGGCGCGGTGGCTCACGCCTGTAATCCCAGCACTTTGGGAGGCTGAAGCGGTGGATCATGAGGTCAGGAGTTTGAGACCAACTTGGCCAACATGGTGAAACCCCGTCTCTACTAAAGATACAAAAAATTACCTGCATGTGGTAGTGCACCCCCATAATCCTAGTTACTCGGGAGGCTGAGGTGGGAGGATCACTTGAACCCAGAGGCGGAGGTTGCAGTAAGCTGAGATCATGCCATTGCACTCCAGCCTGGGCAACAGGGTGAGATTCTGTTTAAAAAAAATAAAAAAAGGCTGGGCGTGGTGGCTCACGCCTGTAATCCCAGCACTTTGGGAGGGTGAAATGGGCAGATCACGAGGTCAGGAGATCAAGACCATCCTGACTAACATGGTGAAACCCTGTCTCTACTAAAAATACAAAAAATTAGCCAGGCATGATGGTATGCGCCTGTAGTCCCAGCTACTTGGGAGGCTGAGGCTGGAGAATCACTTCAACCTTGGAGGTGGAGGTTGCAGTAAGCCGAGATTGCACCACAACACTCCAGCCTGGGTGACAGAGCGAGAATCTGTTTCAAAAGAAAAAAGAGTATTTTTTGGCCGGGCACAGTGGCTAATGCCTATAACCCTAGCACTTTGGGAGGCCGAAGCAGGTGGATGACTTGAGGTCAGGAGTTCGAGACCAGCTTGGCCCACATAGCGAAACCCCGTCTCTACTAAAAATACAAAAATTAGCTGGATGTGGTGGCACATACCTGTAATCCCAGGTACTTAGGAAGCTAAGGCAGGGGAATTGCTTGAACCTGGGAGGCAGAGGTTGCAGTGAGCTGAGATCATGCTACTGCACTCCAGCCTGGGTGATGGAGTGAGACTGTGTCTCAAAAAAAAAAAAAAAAAATATATATATATATATATATATATAAACTCTTTGCAGATTACAAAAGTAATCTGAAAATGCCATCACCTTAAAGATAGTTAATTGTTTCCTACCAAATGTCTACCAAGTTTGCTAATCCTTGTGCTTTAATTTTAAATTGTTTTTTGAAAGGTTTCTTTCAAGCAGGATGGTACCTTTCCACTTTCCTCCGTCAAAATGTGCACTTTGGAACCCAACGCCAACTGGAGATTTCATCTACTTACATCTCAGTTACTACAGGTATAACATGTTTCTTTTTTTCAAATCAAACCAGTATAAACAAGAGTAATACAAAGATGTGTAAGGCAAAGTTGATTACTATGACCAATTATTAATTTTTCTTTACTTTTCTTTTAGAAGCTCCCCTCAGGCAAAATCTTCCTTCTACTGCTTCTTAATATCTGTTCCTTGTACTTTTGAGAGATAATCTTAATTTCCCAGTTTTTTGCAAATTCTGCATATTGTAGGAATTCAAAAGAGGTAAAAAATAATCAAAACTGAAAGTGTCTTTTATCATATCAGCATGGTGTCTTTGTAGAACATTGAGAAGCTTGAACCGATTTTTGAGTGGATCAGATTAGAAGGAGTATAAAATCTTGTGGTTACCTCCAGGACCTTGACAGAAAGACAAGAAAGAAGTTTAGGTGTAAAGTAATAGAAAATAGATCTATTGAGGTTTTGTACCTAAGAGTTACTTGTTAAAAGTAGTATTCTAAGAAAGATAGATTGTGGTGGGGAGAGCCTTGAGTCAGCCTAGCTTCAAGATGCTTTTCTGTAATCATACAGGTGTATACTGTAATGGTTTAAGGTTCTGTAACTGGGCTGGGCGCGGTGGCTCACACCTATAACCCCAGCACTTTGGGAGGTTGAGGCAGGAAGATTGCTTGAAGTCAGGAGTTTGAAAGCAGCCTGGGCAACAAAGTGAGACTTTGTCTCAATAAAAAATTAAAATAAAAAGTAAAAAAAACAAAATAAGAAAAAAAAAGTGCAATAACTGGAGGAAGACTGCCTAGGGAATCAAATCCTGATTCTACTGCTTATTTATGCGACCTCAGTAAAGTAGCCAAGGATCAGGTTCCTTTTTTATAAAATGACTATAATAATACCAGTTTCACAGTTCTCTTCTAGGGGTTAAATAAGACTCTGTAAAGCAATTGTCACAGTGCCTGGAATAGAAAGTATTTCATAAATGGCATCTATTATATATTATAAGGACTTAGAGCAATGTAGCAGTATTCGGATCAAGAGGAAAGAATGAAAGAAGGTGTTTTGAAGAAATAGTTTGTAGTATTTGATGATTGACTGACTAGAGGAATGAAGGAAAGATACAAGTCAGAAAGTATTCAGGTTCAACACTGGTTGGCAGAGAAGGGTGGTACTATTGACAAAAATAGGGAGAGTCTTATGGAAGTTCAACTAAATAATGGTTAGTCCTGTTTTTATTTTTTTTATTGTTATCTTTCTGTACATTTTGAGTAGTTTCCTTTGTTTTTCAAGCCTACTTATTTTCTCTTTAGCTGTGCTTAGCTGCCATCTAACCTGTTCATTTAGGTTTGGTTGGGTTTTTTTGTTTTTTTTTTAGTTTTGTTTTTGTTTTTGAGATGGAGTTTTGCTCTTGTTGTCCAGGCTGGAGTGCAATGGCGTGATGTAGGCTCACTGCAACCTCCACCTCCCAGGTACAAGCAATTCTCCTGTCTCAGCCTCCCAAGTAGCTTGAATTACAGGCATGTGCCACCATGCCTGGCTAATTTTTTAATATTTAGTAGAGATGGGGTTTCACCATGTTAGTCAGGCTGGTCACAAACTCCTGACCTCAGGTGATACCTGCCTCGGCCTCCCAAAGTGCTGGGGTTACAGGCGTGTGCCACTGCGCCCGGCCCTCATTTAGGTTTTTTAAATGTGGCGGTGTACCATATATATGAAAGGATACTTATAGTATATATGCATAGTTAATAGAATAAAAATACACATTTGTGTACCTATCCCCAGTTAATTATATAACTCATTGAATTTTTGCAAATTATATTTTTTATTTCTTTAAGTTCCATATGGCTTTTTTATTCGAATTTGCCTGGTCTGTTTTCATAGTATCTTATTCCTGGCTCATATTTTGGTTTCCTTTTACATTTTTTAAAACATTTAAATCATACTATATTTTGTATTCAATACAGTAGTTTCCCCCCTTAATACATGGTTTCACTTTCCGTGGTTTCAGTTACCCACAGTATAGTACAATAAGGTATTTTGAGGGACAGACTATATTCATACAACTTTTATTACAGTATACTGTTAAAATTATTCTATTGTATTATTATTGTTGTTAATCACTTACTGTGCCTAATTTATAATTTAAACTTTATCATAGATATGTATGTATAGGAAAAAACATAGTATATATAGGATTTGTTACTATCTGCGGTTTCAGACATCCACTTGGGGGTCTGGAACATGTCTCCCAGAGATAAGGAGGCACCACTGTAATGCTAATTATATCTGAAGCCCATCCACAGTATGTAAAGAAATAGATGTGATTGTTTTAACTTACAAAAACAGGAGACCTACCTGCTGAGGTTCATCAAGTTAACAAAATGCCTGGAGAACAACTGTAGTCTCAGTGTCTGTTTATTGCCATTCTAGTTTCCAGGTGGCCCTCCCTATCCCCTGCCTTTGACCCTGGGATTTCCTGACAATGATCTTTCTGTACATTTTTAAAAATGTGTGTTATAATTTAGACAGCATTTTATGGCAGGAGGTTTTTTTAAGATATGAAATCTACCATGTTCATAAAAGACTTGTTGTTTTTCAGAAATCCAAAGCTTGTAGTGACTAAAAAGACCATCCGACTTGCTTATCGTCATGCTAAACAGAATAAAAAAAATTCATCATGCTTTTTACTTGGTTCTCTGACAGTAGACGAAGGTAATACACTTTTAAAAATTGACCAGTGCTCACGTCTGTAATCCCTGCACGTTGGGAGGCTGGAGTGGGAGGAGTGCTTGAACCTGGGAGTTTAAGACCAGCTTGCATAACATAGTGAGACCCCATCAGTACAAGAAAACCTTTTAAAAAATTACTTGTATGACTGCAATAGAATTTATTGATTCGGTCAGCTATTGTATTTGCTTTGTGCTAATTTTCTTTGCTGTGTACCAAGGATATGAAGATGAGTAAAACCATCAATTACAGACTTCACTGGATGAATGTATATAAGCAAGTAAGAGTTTAGTATACTCTTGTAAAAGTTTAGTTTACTGTAAGATTTTAGTTTAGTATTTAAGAGTTTAGTGTATTATTGATATGAACAAAGTGCTTTGCTATAATGTAGTCTTGCTGGGTTGATTTTACGTTTTTAATCAGTATACTATATAATAGCTGTTATTTTTGTTCTACAGATGAAGAAGGTGTGACATTGACAGTAGATCGCTTTGATCCTGGTCGAGAAGTACCTGAATGTCTAGAAATAACCCCTACTGCTTCTCTTCCTGGGGACTTTTTGATTCCATGCAAAGTTCATGTTCAAGAACTTTGTTCAAGAGAAATGATAGTTCACAGTGTAGATGACTTCAGTTCAGCTTTAAAGGTGCGATTCATTGACAACTTCATAGTTAATTCAACACAAGAAACAAACTATGTTTAGTATGCTGTATTTTAGTAAAACCATATTTGAGAATTATTCACAATAATTTGATTGAATTATTGTGAACCTAAAATCCAACTAAATGTGTTTCTGAGGGCAAAAATTCTAGGTAAGCCTTTCAGAAGAAGCAGTGTAACCAAGATAAGAAAGTTCAAGATGTACTTAGGGTAGTGTTCGGGGTATACATTTTTGCTGAATTTGTGGGCAGTCGGACTGGGGTATTAATTTGATCAGATTATAGAGAGGCTTGCCTAGGCATGGTGGCTTGTGTCTGTAATCCCAACACTTTGGGAGGCTGAGGCAGGTGGATTGCTTGAGCCCGACACTCCAGCCTTGGTGGGAGCAAGATCCTTTCTCAAGAAAAAAGAGCCTTGTCTGCCAGCCTTAGGAATTTGAACTTTGTCATACGGGCCATGTAGTAATTGAAGGTTCTTGAGAAAAGGAAACAGTGTCAAATCAGAAATAAGTTAATCTGATAGGGTAGGCTGACTGAAGTTATAGAGAGTAGCCATTGTGGTAGTTGGGCTGGTGTGTATTACAGAGGGATGTATTAACCTATAGTACAATGGTAGCAGTGAAACTAGGAAGGACACAGTGGGCATGGGCAAATACAGAGGGAGAACTAACTTGACAGTTTGTGGTAGCAAGAAAGGAATCAAAGAGGAATGGACTTTAGATTCTCTGAGACTCAATCAGAATTATTTTATGAGGCCAGGCACGGTGGCTCACGCCTGTAATCCCAGCACTTTGGGAGGCTGAGGCGGGCTGATCAAGAGGAGTTCAAGACCAAGCTGGCCAACATGGTAAAACCCCATCTCTACTAAAAATACAAAAAATTAGCTGGGTGTGGTGGCACATACCTGTAATCCCAGCTACTTGGGAGGCTGAGGCAGGAGAATCGCTTGAACTGGGAGGTGGAGTTTGTGGTGAGCTGAGATTACGCCACTGCACTCCAGCCTGGGCAAAAAAACGAGACTCCTCAAAAAAAAAAAAAAGACTTATTTTATGTCCATTTTTTCCCATGTAGTAAGTATTTATTGGGGGTGACTTCCCAATGTGACTGAAGTGCTGCTAGGATATTTGCATTGGAAATGTGTAGTGGAGCTTGGGACAGTGAATCTTACTTGCTTTGATATAATTATTCACATAATCTTTTGGTCACATGGAAGAAATGAGAACTGAAATGTAAGTCAGAACTCATTTAATTTTATTAGTGCAAGGTATTATATATGTATATGTATCAGTATAAAATAAATTTTGCACGTTTCGAAGTTGTAAAATAATTATTTAATATTGATTTCTCAGGCTCTACAGTGCCATATATGTAGCAAAGATTCCTTGGACTGTGGTAAGCTGCTTTCCGTAAGAGCTCATATCACTTCCAGGGAGACTTTGGACAGTGTGGAATTTGACTTGCATTGGGCAGCAGTAACTCTAGCAAATAACTTCAAATGCACACCTGTGAAGCCCATCCCCATTATTCCAACAGCTCTGGCAAGAAACTTGAGCAGTAATCTGAATATTTCTCAAGTTCAAGGGACTTATAAATATGGGTAAGTAAAAGATATATTAATCTAAACATTAGTTGCATTAGTATATTTTCAGAATGTCCGTGTAATATGAAAGAATTGGGCAGTCAGTTTACATGCCAGAGATATGGTGGCTTGGTTAATAACAAGGGAAAGTAAAAAATGAAGTGGTTTATTTTTGTTGAATAGAAAGTTTTCTTTAAGTTGTGCCACCACCTACAAAAAATTGGTGGTAGGGCCTGGCGCGGTGGCTCACACCTGTACTTGGGGAGGCCCAGGTGGGCAGATCACCTGAGGTCAGGAGTTCAAGATCAGTCTGGCCAACATGGTGGAACCCTGTCTGTACTAAAAATATAAAAATTAACTGAGCGTGGTGGTGCATGCCTGTAGTCCCAGCTACTCGGGAGGTTGAGGAGGGAGGATCACTTGAACCTGGGAGGTGGAGGTTGCAGTGAGCTGAGATCGCACCACTGCACTCCAGCCTGGGCAGCGGAGACTCCATTTCAAACAAAAAAGACAAAACTGAGTGGCCATAAAGTATAATGTCTGGACAACTCAGTTCTTTTTTTGAGATGGTGTCTTGTTCTGTCACCCAGACTGGCGTGCAGTGGTGGGATCTTTGCTCACTTCCACCTCTACCTCCCTGGTTCAAGCGATCCTCCCATCTCAGCCTCCCGAGTAGCTGTGATTACAGGTGCATGCCACTACACCAGCTAATTTTTGTATTTTTAGTAGAAATAAGGTTTCACCATGTTGGCCAGGCTGGACTTGAACTCTAGACCTCAGGTGATCCTCCTGCCTCAGCCTCCCAGAGTGCTGAGATTACAGGGGTGAGCCACCATGCCCAGTCCCGGAGACCTCAGTTCTTAAAAAAAAAAAAAAGTTGGTGTTAAATATATTAAAATTGGAGGCCAAGGTGGGCAGATCACGAGGTCAGTAGTTCGAGACTAGCCTGACCAACATGGTGAAACTCCATCTCTACTAAAAATACCAAAAAAAAAAGAAAAAAAAATTAGCTGGGTGTGGTGGCTCATGCCTGTGTAATCCCAGCTACTCAGGAGACTGAGACAGGAGAATTGCTTGAACCTGGAAGGCGGAGGTTGCAGTGAGCTGAGATCACACCATTGCACTCCAGTGTGGGCGGCAGAGCGAGACTCTATTTCGAAAAAAAAGAACAAACAAAAAAATTGGTTGATAATTTATTATTTGAAAATGTAAGGAGAAATTATGTTCTATATTATATATTCTGTGTTATTGTTCATATTTTATTTAGGTTTTAGGCCATTTTTTTTCTTAACTATAACCTGACTAATTATGAACCCAAGGGAGGCTAGATCATTTATTTCTAGTATGCAGTTTTAACTGTGAATAATGAGCATTGCAGATAGAGAAAGGAGATAATTAAATAAAAAGTTACAGTACTCTTGCTTACCAAATTGCCAACTACTTGAGGGTGGAGTTTCCTTACAGAGCTGGAGTAGAATCCTCTCCATCTTCCTATCTCCACTCTTAATTTCTTAGGAAATATAAGCCAAAATGCTTGCTTTCTAATCCTCAGCAGGGCTACTTCCCTGAATCTTCATCTGTTTTCTTTATCTATTATCTACAAAACTAGGTTAGACAATATAAGCACTCTCTACTTTAAAGTTTGACCAGAGACTGCTCCAAATATTACACTTCTGGCTTCCTTTCCCAGTGACTCCACCCTAGTTCCTGTTAGGCCTTTCAATCTAAAAATGTTTGCCAAAGTACACTCAATTCCAAGTCTTATTCTCTAAAAATACCTCTTCAGAACCAGATTCTGACCAGAGCTGTGCTTTCTGGTGGCCCAAAGGAAAAATTGTTGGTATATTCCAAAATCATGGAGTGGTCAAAAGTGAGCAAAACTTGTTTGAGTTAAATGAAACATTAAATTCTCTTGAATTAATAAAGTACTTCTCAAGTGGAGCATGGGATTTTTATTTAAATTAACAAAAAAATTAATTTGTTTTCCTTAGTACCCATGCCCATTTACTTGAATAGCATGAATTTTCCTTTCTTGGAATTATCCATCTGTGACTGCTGGGCATGCTAGTAATAACCAGAATGTTCAGTATTCTGTCAATCACCTATTCCCCTTGCCCCTTCCTATCTAGAATCGTCTGTGGTGACATTTGCCATGCCAGGTGCATTGGCACACACCTGTAATCCTAGCTGCTTGGGAGACTGAAGCAGGAGGATGGCTTGAGCTTAGGGTTTCAAGGCTGCTGTAAGCTACAATAGTGCCTGTGAATAGCCACTGCTCTCCAGCTAGGACAATATAGTGAGACCCCATCATTTAAAAAAAATAAAAATTGACATTTGCCCTTTATATATTCTAATATTTACTGGGGCCCATTATGGAATAGGTATTATGTTAGACATTGGAAATAAATAGATTAAAAACTATACTTACTATCCATTGAATATGTTGACATCTAAACATGATGTGTTATAATGGAGGTTTATATACAGTGCTGGGAAAGTAGGGGGAGGGATGTCCAGATTTCCTGGGGAAATCATAGAAAGCTTGAACTAATTTTTTTTTTTTTTTTTTGAGACGGAGTCTCGCTCTGTCACCAGACTGGAGTGCAGTGGCGTGATCTCGGCTCACTGCAACCGCCGCCTCCCGGGTTCAAGCGATTCTCTTGCCTCAGCCTCCCAAGTAGCTGGGATTACAGGCGCCCGCCACCACACCCGGCTAATTTTTGTATTTTTAGTAGAGATGGGGTTTCACCATCTTGGCCAGACTTGTCTTGAACTCCTGACCTTGTGATCCACCTGCCTCAGCCTTCCAAAGTGCTGGGATTACAGACGTGAGCCACCATGCCCGGCCAGCCTGAACTAATTCTTTTAAGGAGTAGAAATTTCTCAGATGAGCAAGACATGAGGGAGAACTTTCAAAGCAGCTGTGTCATTGTTGATATGTAAATCTTAGGCCAACTCAGGCTTAATATTCTTGTCATAAGACCTGACAAATGTATTGTCTTTGTGTTTTAGTGTTATTAGAGCAATAAAATATATCATCAGTGGTAATACCGAGGCTTTATATCAATAATGGCATTTTGTTTTCTGTTTTTGAGACGGAGTCTCACTGTGTCGCCCAGGCTGAAATGCAGTGGTGCGATCTCAGCTCACTGCAACCTCCACTTCCTGGGTTCAAGTGATTCATTCTCCTGCCTCAGCCTCCCCAAGTAGCTGGGATTACAGGCGTGTGCCACAATGACCAAAAAAAGTAATTTTTTTTGTATTTTCAGTAGAGATGGGGGTTTTGCCATGTTGGCCATGCTGGTCTTGAACTCCTGACCTCAAGTGATCTGCCCGCCTCAGCCTCCCAAAGTGCTGGGATTACAGGCATGAGCCACCACGTCTGGCCCACTAATGGCATTGTTTTCGAAGAAAGATATAACAATAAAATAAACAATTCTATTTTTTTTTTTGTATTCTTATAACTTACTGTCAATAATAAATAAAATATAAATATAGTATAATGTCCTTTTAGGGAAGAGTGAGCTTTTGGGTTTTATCATGATGGTTCCAAAGTCCTTTGACAGTGGTTGGAGGAATGTGGCACATGGAGGGTTGATTATACCTCCCCTAATTCAGCCTCCTTCACTTAGAAGTCACATCTGTTGCAGTCTTGTCAAATCACTTGGATGCATGAACATTTTCCAGTAATAGGGAATTCATTTCTTCCAAGGAAACCTATTTGGTTCTGAAATTGTCTGCCTTAATATTAACACTCTTGATTAAAGTAAATTGTAAGTAAAGTTATAGAGCAAAACTTTTTTAAAAAGTTGTATAATCTCCAATGTCTTTTAATTGATAGATGGAAGTTTTAAGATATTAAATCTTTTTAATCTCTTCCTCTTACCAGAGTCTTTTTACTGAGTCAGTACAAAGTTTCTGTTGTGTTTCTTTTGTGTGTGCAAGACAATGTTCATTTGAATTCTCTCCGCTTTCTAAAGTATGCTTCAGCATCTAGATTATGTCTTTTAGGTAAAAAGTACATAATTTCAGTTATTTTCACATGAATATCTTCTGTTTAGATATCTTACCATGGATGAAACACGCAAATTGTTACTTTTGTTGGAATCTGATCCCAAGGTTTATTCTCTACCATTAGTGGGAATGTAAGTATTACATTATTTATGAAAACCTTATCAGCCAAATGTTCAAATGTATATGATAAGCGTGTGACTCAGTTGTACTATAACTATTTAGATCATTTTATAAAGCCACAAAGATAAGTGGTTGTCAGGTTTTCTTATTTTACTAGTAGAATCAGCTAAAATAAGATTTTGCCCAATCTTTTTTTTTTTTGAGATGGAGTCTCACTGTGTGCCCAGACTGGAGTGCAGCGGAGAGATCTTTGCACACTGCAGTCTCCATCCCCCAGGTTCAAGTGATTCTCATGCCTCACCCTCCCAAGTAGCTGGGATTACAGGCATGCATCACTGTGCCTGGCTAATTTTTGTTTTTTTAGTAGAGACGGGGTTTTACCATGTTGGCCAGGCTGGTCTCGAACCCCTGGCCTCAAGTGATTTACCCGCCTCAGCCTCCCAAAGTGCTTGGATTACAGGCATGAACTATCGTGCTTGGCCAGATTTTGCCCAACCCTAGGAGGAACTCTAATATATAAAACAGATAAAAATTTAATTCTATGGCTGGGCACAGTGGCTCATGCCTATAATCCCAGCACTTTTGGAGGCCAAGGTGGGCGGATCACCTGAGGTCAGGAGTTCAAGGCCAGCCTTGATAACATGGTGAAACCCCGTTTCTACTAAAAATACAAAAAATTAGCCGGGCATGGTGGTGTGTGCCTGTAATGCCAGCTACTCGGGAGGCTGAGGCAGGAGAATCACTTGAACCCAGGAGGTGGAGGTTGCAGTGAGCTGAGATTGTGCCATTGCACTCCAGCTTGGGCAACAAGAGTGAAACTGCATCTCAAAAAATATAAAAAATAAAAGTTGAATTCTCCTAGTTGAAGGTGAAGCCTTAGAGCCCTATTTCTTCAATATTCTCTCACTACCACTCATCCTTAAGTCACCCTAAAGAATTCACAGCTCATAATAATACCATTTAAAATCTACTGTCAGGCAATCTTGCAGAAACTCCTTTAGTGTTAACGGTCTTCTCTTTAGTAGTTAATGATATTTATGTGTTTAATTTATATATATATGTGAGTGTGTGTGTATATATAGATAGACCCGTGTGTGTGTGTATATATATATATATATATATACGCAGGCTGGAGTGCAGTGGCACAATCATGACTCACTGCAGCCTCAATCTCTGGGGTTCAGGTGATCCTCCTACTTCAGCCTCCTGAATAGCTAGGACCACAGGCACCAGCTACCACGCCTGGCTAGGTTTTGTATACTTTGTAGAGGCAGACTTTCGCCATGTTACCCAGGCTGGTCTGGAACTCCTGGGCTCAAGCCATCTGAGTTGATATCTAGACAGAATATTTAGAAATTTATATTCTTTCAGTATTGAGTACTTACTATATACAGTGTTATGCTTGATAATGTGTTGAGGTTTAAAGCTTCTTAAATAATTTAAAATCAAAGTGAGGTGATAAAACATTCAAATATTCATACACAGAAAAATAAAGAATATGATTTACTACAAAATGACCAGTATAGAAAGTGCACTTAGTATTTGTAAGAAAGATATGATAGGGAGCATTTTCCTAGAGAAGACAAACTTGAACTAGACTTTTAATTGTTTGGATAGTAGAAGGGAAGATTGATGAGGAAGGGAACCCATGTGAGAGAATGGCACATGCAAAGTGAATGAGAATGCACAGATGTTCTCTGGATCATGAAATCTACTTATAGTTTGCTACAGTCCTAGTATAGGCAATGGATTGTTGATGCTTAAGTAAATATTAAGAGCCTTCTCTGTTTCTGATTACCTGTATATGTTACAGCATTTAATCCTCAGCAACTCTGTGAAGTAGTTTTTTTTTTTTTTTTTTTTTTGAGACAGAGTTTCACTCTTGTTGCCCAGACTAGAGTGCAATGGCAGGATCTCGGCTCACCGCAACCTGTACCTCCTGGGTTCAAGCGATTCTCCTACCTCAGCCTCCCGAGTAGCTGGGATTACAGGCATGTACCACCACGCCTGGCTAATTTTGTATTTTTATTAGAGATGGGGTTTCTCCATTTTGGCCAGGCCAGTCTTGAACTCCTGACCTCAGGTGATCCCCCTGCCTCGGCCTCCCAAAGTGCTAGGATTACAGGCATGAGCCACTGCGCCCGGCTGTGAAGTAGTTTTAGGCTACAAACTAGTCTGTACTACTTCAGCCCATTCTTTCCAGTCCAAGCTAATTCATTCTAGTATACTGCTTTCATCTCTGTTAACCATTTTCTTTCCCACATCTCAGGTAGAAGAGGACAGAGATACACGTGCTTGCTCTCTGTCCTTCTCTCTCTCTCAATATATATCTATATGTCTGTCTATATATATCGATATAGTTATATAGATACAGATGTCTATATATTCTTCCTCTTAATTATCGGCACGTTTTTAGATTTCTTATTAGTAAGGCTCTTTAATGTATGGCAGATAAAAGCCATACATCTACCTTATTATCTTAGGAAGAATGTAAAGTATGCTATATATGTAAGTGACTATGGTTTTTAATTTCTAGTTTTTTCTTTTAGTTGGCTGTCTGGAATTATACATATCTATAGTCCTCAGGTGTGGGCTTGCTGTTTGCGATACATATTCAATTCTTCTGTTCAAGAAAGGCAAGTGATATTTTATTCTGTAGTACTTTATTTTGATCCTTTCCCCCATTCATAATTTATGGTCCCATTTAAAATTCACGTAATGCCTTAACCTTTTACAATACTTATAAATAAACATGTACATTAAGAAAAAACAAACCTTATATTAAATGAGAATAAAACCAGATTAAAAAAAGATGAGGTTGCAGTATACCTGGAAATACGAAGGAATTCACTTGCCTAACCACAAAACACAAACCTTTTAGGGGTGGAAAAAAACCATAGAGATTGCCTACTGTAGCATCCTATTTTGTAATTAAGGAAGTTAACTTTCAGTGAAATGGCTGCAAATGAGTTTGAATTTGTTACCTTACAGGTGTTTTATTAAGTTACACAGGGTTACTACTAATACACAAAGAAATACTTGAGACAAGATTTTTAATTTCTTCCTGGAACTGAAGCCTAAACATTGGAATTAATAGTTAGGGAAACTTTAATTTTAACCTCAACTCTTAATAGATAAAGAAGGTGAGAGACAAATACTGACATTTGTCTCTCACCTTCTTTATCTATTAAATGAGAAGGTCTGTTTTTATCTACCTTAGGTGGCTGTAAAGGACTTAAAAAAACTATATTGAAAAGGCAATACAAGCACATAGTAATAAATTGACGTACGTAAATATCTACAATAGAATAGATCTCTTCCTCCCCATTTCCCTAGACCCCCTTCTCAGAGACAATCACTGTTAAGTGATATCTTGTGCTTCCTTCCTGAAATAGTCAATATTTCAATATTCAACATAGACAAGTATCACCTTTTCCTGACCTGTAAAAATTAAACCATAACATCTTTTCTTTTCTTTATGTTGCTTTTTTCTGTATAAATTATACCTTGGAGATCACTATATCTTGGCATATACATATTTAATATACATATTTTACAACTAAAGAGTATATAGTACATACTGTATTTTAAAAACAACTGGCCCTTTTGTCTTGCAGATAGTGGTCGACTGAACATTTTATGCATACATCTTTGTGTGCATATGCTAGTATATTTGTAGGATAAATTTCTAAAAGTGTTTTTTTCTAGGCCAAAGAGTATGTAATTTAAAATTTGGTAGATATTGCCAAATTGCCCTTCAAAAAGACTGTACCAGTTTATAATTTTTCCAGCAGTACACGAGAGTGCCTTTTTCTCTCTACCTGCGCTAACACTGTGAAAGAAATATTTATTTATTTATTTATTTATTTATTTATTTATTTATTGAGCACCTATTATATCTATTATGTTTACGATATTGGGGATGAGAGCAAACAAAATAAAGATCCCCAGACCAGGCATGGTGTCTCATGTCTGTAAGCCCAGCACTTTGGGACTTTGGGAGGCTGAGACAGGAGGATCGCTTGAGGCCAGGAGTTCCAGACCAGCCTAGGTACCATAGCAAGACTTTGTCTCTACCAAAAAAAAAGAAAAAAAGTTAGCTGGGTGTAATGACACATGCCTGTAGTCCCAGCAGGGGCTGATATGGGAAGATTGCTTGAGCCCAGGAGTTCAGGCTGCAGTGAGCCATGATTGTGCCACTGTACTCCAGCCTGAACAATACAGACCCTATCTTAATAAAATAGGCCGGGCATGGTGGCTCACACCTGTAATCCCAACACTTTGGGAGGCCAAGGCGGGTGAATCACTTGAGGACAGGAATTAGAGACCAGCTTGGCCAACATGGTGAAAACCCGTCTCTACTAAAAATGCAAAAATTAGCCTGGTGTGGTAGAGCATGCATGTAATCCCAGCTACTTGGGAGGTTGAGGCAGGAGAATCACTTGAACCTAGGAGGCAGAGGTTACAGTGAGCTGAGATCGCACCACTACACTCCAGCCTGGGTGACCAAAAAAATGAATAAATGAATAAATATAAAATAAAATAGTCCTGCGAGACAGGCAATAAACAGAATAAGTAAAATAAATAGTATGTTAAAAGACGCCGGGCGCGGTGGCTCAAGCCTGTAATCCCAGCACTTTGGGAGGCCGAGACGAGCGGATCACGAGGTCAGGAGATCGAGACCATCCTGGCTAACATGGTGAAACCCCGTCTCTACTTAAAAAAAAAATACAAAAAACTAGCCAGGCGAGGTGGCGGGCGCCTGTAGTCCCAGCTACTCGGGAGGCTGAGGCAGGAGAATGGCGTAAACCCAGGAGGCGGAGCTTGCAGTGAGCTGAGATCTGGCCACTGCACTCCAGCCCGGGCGACAGAACCAAACTCCGTCTCAAAAACAAACAAGCAAACAAAAAGACGATGAGTACTGTGGAGAAAAATAAAGCCTGAGAGGAGGATGTTGTGTGTCTGAATGATAGTGGCAGGTAAAGAGTTGCCATTTATTTATTTATTTTTTAATTTTTAAAATTTGTATATTTATTTATTTTATTTTATTTATTTTTTTTGAGATGGAGTCTCGCTCTGTTGGCCAGGCTGGAGTGCAATGGCTCAATCTCAGCTCACAGAAACCTCCACCTCCCGAGTTCAAGCAATTCTCCTGCCTCAGCCTCCTGAGTAGCTGGGATTACAGGCATGTGCCACCACGCCCTTCTAATTTTGTATTTTTTCAGTAGAGACGGGGGTTTCTCCATATTGGTCAGGCTGGTCTCGAACTCCTGACCTCAGGTGATCCGCCTGCCTTGGCCTCTCAAAGTGCTGGGATTACAGGCGTGAGCCACCGCGCCCGGCCAAGAGTTGCAATTTAAGTGGGTGGTCAGGGAGGCCGACTTGAGGTGAGGGAGTAAGCCTTGTGGCTGTCTGGGGCACTGTCCTAGGCAAAGGATGTGTTAAGTGTAAGGGCTCTGGGTGAAAGATCAGGTTACATCTTCAAGGAACAGCAAGGAGGCCACTGTAGCTAGAGAGGAGTGAAGGAAGGGGGAAGTAGCTGGAGATGAGCTCAGAGAGGTAAGTAGAGGGCTGTCGTTAAACTTTTGACCTCTGCTAACCTGATAGATGAAAAATAATCTTTTCCAGTACCTCATCTTCCAGGAACTGCCTAGTCATGTCTTTGACCATTTTTCTCTTAGATTGTGCGTCGTTTCATATTGCTTGTGCTAGCAAGCTCTCTCTCTATATATAATATAAAATACATAGAGAAATATATATTTATAATATATAGCAACAGTTCCCCCCCAGATTGTCATTTAACAGTATTTTTCCCAAACAGACTTACCGTTTTTTAGTCATATTTATTAATCTGTTTTCTATCATGCTTAGAAAAGATTCACCCACTCCAGGTGTATTTACTGAAGTAAAAAAAATCACTCGTATTTTCTTCAGATGCTTTTGGAGTTCTACTTTTAACATTTTATTTTAAGTTTTCAAGATAATTAGTTATATTTAGATAGCAGAAATTAAATGTTAGCTTTAGGTCCTTTGCTATGATTTAGTACAATTAAGTTTTATTATCAGTTACTGATCATGCTTTAAGTTCATATTGACAGTAAATCCTCAATAAAATTAATTTTGAATTGCCCTCTTATTCTTTCTTTCTTTTTTTTTTTTTAGTCAGAGTTTCACTCTGTCGCCCAGGCTGGAGTGCAATGGCGTGATCTTGGCTCACTGAAACCTCTGCCTCCTGGGTTCAAGCAGTTCTCCCTGCCTCAGCCTCCCAAGTAGCTAGGATTACAGGCGCCCACCATCACGCCTGGCTAATTTTTGTGTTTTTAGTAGAGATGGAGTTTTGCCATGTTGGTCAGGCTGGTCTCAAACTCCTGACCTCAAGTGATCCACCCACCTTGGCCTCCCAAAGTGTTGGGATTACAGGTGTGAGCCACCTATTTTAAATAGCCACTGGCCTACTTTCTCTTTTTATTTTTATTTTTTATTGAGACAGAGTCTTGCTGTGTCGCCAGGCTGGAGTGCAGTGGCGCAATCTCGGCTCACTGCAACCTCCGCCTCCCATGTTCAAGTGATTCTCCTGCCTCAGCCTCCCAAGTAGCTGGGACTACAGGCATGTGCCACCACACCCAGCTAATTTTTGTATTTTTAGTAGAGATGGGGTTTCACCATGTTAGCCAGGATGGTCTCCATCTCTTGACTTTGTGATCCGCCTGCTTCAGCCTCCCAAAGTGCTGGGATTATAGGCATGAGCCACCACACCCAGCCTTTTTTTTTTTTGAGACGGAGTCTCGCTCTGTCGCCCAGGCTGGAGTGCAATGGCGCGATCTTAGCTCCCTCTAAACTCCACCTCCCAGATTCACACCATTCTCCTGCCTCAGCCTCCCGAATAAAAGAATTTTTTTTTTTTTTTTGTAGAGAGGAGGGGTCTTGCTATGTTGACCAGGCTGGTCTCAAACTCCTGGCCTCAAGCGATCCTCCCACCTTTTGCCTTCCTAAGTGGCCCCAGTTTTTGAACAAAAATTGGACCCTTTAGTCATTTTGTTAAGTAGATTGGGAGACTCACATGAAGTTATTTGAATGTAATCATGTTATCCTCATTAAATTTTAATTAAATGGTATTTTTTTGGTGCAGGGTTTTTTCAGAATCTGGAAATTTCATCATAGTTCTCTATTCTGTGACACATAAGGAGCCTGAGTTTTATGAATGCTTCCCTTGTGATGGCAAGATACCTGACTTTCGGTTTCAGTTGCTAACCAGTAAGGAAACGTTACATCTTTTCAAAGTAAGTGATTTGATTACCTAGCACATTAGTGACTGTTTAGGTTTTGCTCTTTGGCAGTTTAAACCCAACAGATTTTAGCCTTTAAAATAGTAATCCAAACTATTTTGCTTTGTTTACTTACAAATAATCTTACTAAATGTTAACTTTATTCATTTATGGTTAAATGTTTTAAGTAAATCTTAGATCATATCTTCAACCAAATTACAATAGAGAACCAGAGGTTCCCCACAGAATAACTTGCCCATGTTTTTCTAAAATCTTTGAAGAATATTATCAGTTCATATATTATATCATTTTATACTTGTGAAGGTTAACTTTGTGGGATCTCAGTACTTTTCTTTGTCCTGACTGTATTTTTTTTTTTTTTTGAGATGGAGTTTCACTCTGTTGCCCAGGCTGGAGTGCAGTGGTGTGATCTCGGCTCACTGCAACCTCCGCCTCCCAGGTTCAAGTAATTCTCCTGCCTCAGCCTCCAGAATAGCTGGGATTACAGGAGCCCACCATCACGCATGGCTAATTTTTTTTTTTTCGTTAGAGACGGGGTTTCACCATGTTGGCCATTCTGGTCTCGAACTCCTGACCTTAGGTGATCCACCTGCCTCAGCCTCCCAAAGTACTGGGATTATAGGTGTGAGCCACTGCATCTGACCATGACTTTATTATTATTATTATTATTTTTTTATTTTATTTTATTTTTTTTTTTTGAGACGGAGTCTCGCTCTGTCGCCCAGGCTGGAGCGCAGTGGCCGGATCTCAGCTCACTGCAAGCTCCGCCTCCCGGGTTCACGCCATTCTCCTGCCTCAGCCTCCCGAGTAGCTGGGACTACAGGCGCCCGCCACCTCGCCCGGCTAGTTTTTTGTATTTTTTAGTAGAGACGGGGTTTCACTGTGTTAGCCAGGATGGTCTCGATCTCCTGACCTCGTGATCCACCCGTCTCGGCCTCCCAAAGTGCTGGGATTACAGGCTTGAGCCACCGCGCCCGGCCTACTTTATTATTTTTAAAATGTGTGGGAATAACAAATGGTTTTTTATACTTAAAGGCCATTATTTATATTATGTATCTAAGGAATCAGAATAGGTTGTTACTATATCATCTAATAAAATACCTAGAAATACAACTAGATGATGATGGTAGAAAAAGTAGATCTTTAGGCCAGGCGTGGTGGCTCACACCTCCAATCCCAGCACTTTGGGAGGCCGAGGCGGGTGGATCACCTGAGGTCAGGAGTTTGAGACCAGCCTGGATAACGTGGTGAAACCCCATCTCTACTAAAAATACAAAAATTAGCCGGGTATGGTGCCAGGTGCCTGTAATCCTAGCTACTTGGGAGACTGAGGCAGGGGAATCGCTTGAACCTGGGAGGTGGAGGTTGCAGTGAACTGAGATTGCACTGTTGCACTCTAACCTGGGCAACAAGAGCGAAACTCTGTATCAAAAAAAAAAGAGGAAGTAGATCTTTGAAACTACGTGTCATTATACAAAAATATTCAAAGGCTACTTTTCAATAAAATTATTGGTTATTTTAGGTCTCAGACTAATAAAAGTACATTCTTTATTAGAAAAATAGTGAATACTTTTAAATAACCACATGTGTCCACTCTGATCTTATTTAGTACCTTCTTTGAGATCAGGTATAGGTTATAAATCTATATATTTTATATAAATATATATTTTAATATGATACATACATTATATTGCATATGTTATATATAAAAATATACTTATATAATATATATCTGTATACATTTTATATATTTATAGGTTATGTAAACTATGAAGGTTTTGTATTTTAATTATACATATAATCATTTTAATTGAGATCTAATACTTTATTTCTGTTTTAGAAACATATCATTTATCATTTTATTCTTTAGATGGTATTCTCATTTCATAGTTATATTCACTGAATCTGTGATTATAACACAAGTGATTAACTTTTTCACTTATGTAGCAGGGAACTGGACAGTTTACAAAAGAGGGTTACAGTTACAGAAATCAGAAGTCTGCCACTCCATCATCTAGTGTTTCAGAGCTACTTTTCATCTAAATAGAATTCTCTGGTGTTCTTATTTAAGTCAGATCTCAAAATATGACCTACTTCATTTCAGAATGTTGAACCTCCTGACAAAAATCCAATCCGTTGTGAACTGAGTGCTGAAAGCCAAAATGTAGAAACAGAGTTTTTCAGTAAGGCTTCCAAGAATTTTTCAATTAAGAGGTAAAAGATCTTTTTATTATTATGTGTATGTCTTTTTGAAAATTACATTTATTAGTTTTTGGTGAGTAATTAAAATAACTGTAAATTATTTCTGATGAAACGATTTTTAAATCTTATGTACCATAAATGTCTTTGCTTTAAATGCATTCCTTCATATTCATTAGGAAGTTGGATAGTAATTTTAATGAAATGGCAACTCTAATATGGTTTTCATTTGGGTTGATGTATTATATAGGAAAAACACAAAAGTATTTGTTAAAAATTATCTTGCTTAGAAAGAATCTGCTTCCTGTTTTGTTTAGTGCTTTCCATTTGTTATTCCTTCCTTATAAGTTTCTTATTTTAATATTTAAATCAAAGGTGGGGTCTCACTGTATTGGCCAGGTTGGTCTCGAGCTCCTAGCCTCAAGTGATCCTTCTGCCTTGGCCTCCCAAAGTGCTGGGATTACATGTGTGAACCATCGTCCCCAGCGCTTCCTCATAGTTTTAAATCTGGACCTATCAGATAAACTACTGTAAAAGTAACTACTAGCTGCTGTGTGATGGCTCACACCTATAATCCCAGCACTTTGGGAGTTCAGGGCGGGTGGATCACTTGAGGTCAGGAGTTTGAGACCAGCCTGGCCAACATGGTGAAACCCCATCTCCACTAAAAATACAAAAATTAGCCAGACACAGTGGAGCGTGCCTGTAATCCTAGCTACTCGGTAGGCTGAGGTGGGAGAATCGCTTGAACACGGGAGGTGGAGGTTGCAGTGAGCTGAGATTGCACCACTGCACTTCAGCCTGGGCAACAGAGTGAGACCCTGTCTCAAAAAAAAGTAACTCCTACCTTAAAAAAAAAAAAAAAAATTGTTTTAAAACTTCTAAAACACACTTGGAGAATATTAATTAAATAAAGTCTTGTGACTTCTTGGGTCAGTATATTCTACCTTTTGTGGTAAAGAAGACATTCCTGGCCGGGCCGGTGGCTCATGCCTGTAATCCAGCACTTTGGGAGGCAGAGGCAGGCAGATCACATGAGGTCAGGAGTTCGAGACCAGCCTGGCCAATGTTGTGAAACCCCATCTCTACTAAAAATACAAAAATTAGCCAGGCCTGGTGGTGCATCACTGTAATCCCAGCTACCTAGGAGGCTGAAGCAAGAGAATCACTTGAACCCAAGAGGCACAGGTTGTAGTGAGGCGAGAGCATGCCACTATACTCCATCCTGGGTGACACAGTGAGACTCCAACTCAAAAAAAAAAAGATACTATCTTGTATTAGGGTTCTCCACATTAACAGAAACAACAAGATGTGTGTATGTAGAGATATTTGTTTTAAGGAACTGACTTCTGTATTTGTGAAGGTTTGGCATACCCAAAGTCTACAGGTAGGGGCTAAGCACAGTGGCTCACCCCTTTAATCCCAGTACTTTGGGAGGCTGAGAAGGGAGGATTGCTTGAGCTCAGGAGTTCGAGACCAGCCTGGGCAATGTGGCGAAACCCTGCCTCTACAAAAACAAAAAAGAAGTACAGAAATTAGCTGGGTGTGGTGGCACATGCCTGTAGTCCCAGCTACTTGTAGGGCTGAGGTGGGAGGATCATTTGCCCAGGAAGTCAAAGCTTCAGTGAGCCATGTTCGTGGCACTGCACTGCAGCCTGGGTGACAAAATGAGACCCTGTCTCAAAGAAAAAACAAAAACAAACAAAAAATGTCTACAGGTAGGCTGGTAGGGTGGACACCCAGGGAAGAATTGCAGTTTCAGTCTAAAGGCAGTCTGCTGGCAGAATTCCTTTTCCCTCCAGGAAGTCAGTCTTTATCTTTTTTTTTTTGAGATAGGGTCTCACTTTATCTTTTTTTTTTTTTTTTTTTGAGATAGGCTGGAGTGCAGTGGTGTGATCTCAGCTCACTGCAACCTCCACCTCGCAGGTTCAAGGAATTCTCATGCCTCAGCCTCCCGAGTAGCTGGGACTACAGGTGTGCATCACCACGCCCGGCTAATTTTTGTATTTTTAATAAAGATGGGTTTTCACCACATTCAGGCTGGCCTCAAGCTCCTGACCTCAAATGATCCACCCGCCTTGGACCCCCAAAGTTCTAGGATTACAGGCTTGAGCCACCTCACCCAGCCAGGAACATCTTTGCTGTCTTAAATTGTAAGACCTTATTCAACATTTATTGAATAATTATGGAAGAAGTAGCCAAACTAAGGAGACAATAGCACTTTCTTTAAGATTGTTATTAAAAGCTACTTAGGAGGCTGAGGTGGGAGGATCATTTGGGCTCAAGAAGTCAAGGTGGGGAGCCATGATCATGCTACGCCAACTGCTCTCCAGCCTAAGTAATAGAGTGAAACCCTGCCTCAGAAAAAATAATGTTAAAAAACCTTGTTTATTTTCCACTCTGGCCAAAGCTTTAATGAGGAACAGTCATTTTAAATTTTATCAAAATGTTTGTCTCTCCTAAAATACTGTTGTTATGACTATACAACCTGAAGTTTTTCCTTTTTGCCTTGGGTACTAAAAAAGCTAAGAAATGAGGCCAGGCACAGTGGCTCACGCTTGTAATCCCAGCGCTTTGGGAGGCAGAGTGGGTGGATCACCTGAGGTCAGGAGTTTGAGACCATCCTGACCAATGTGGTGAAACCCCGTGTCTACTAAAAATACAAAAATTAGTTGGGCATACTGGCACGTGCCTGTAGTCCGAGCTACTGGGACGCTGAGGCTCAAGAATCCTTGAACTTTGGAGGCTCAGGTTGCTGTGAGCTGAAGTTGTGGCACTGTACTCCAGCCTTGAGTGACAGAGCGAGACTGTATCCACCCCGCCCCCAATCCCCTGCAAAAAAAAAAAAGCTAAGAAATGTGTTTTATTGCTCAGTGTCAACAGTTCTGTGTGTGTGCTCATCTTAAGTACAAAACAGATATTAATTCCATGCCACAACTCAGGTGTACAAAAGAATGTAACTTAAAAAAATTAGTAATTGAAATTAATATCTATTTTAAGCCCCTATTTATTCTACTGGATTATAGACACCAAATTTCACCTAATTCAAGGTTTCTTTATTCCCTTGTCTCTGGGGTTATATGTAATATAGAGGGGACCAGTGGTATGCCAGTACTGGTGATATGGGGTGACATGATTCTCATCCATCTGGCTACAATCTGCTGAGGTGTTTTCATTTGCATCTGGTCTTTGTCAGATTTGTGCAAGTTCCTGCTGCAACTTTTGACCCTATTCAGGCCACTGGATTTCTTGTTTCCTGTCCATGCTGTACTGAGCGCTTTGGAATATCATTATATATCTCAAGCTGTCTTGGGTGTCGGAGAAGAGCTTTGTGGGGCTGTCGGAGACACATTTCTGCTTAGACATAATCATGCAGACATTCTGACTGCTTCATTGTAATACCTTGTACAGAAAGAACTCTGTGAAGATCTGCCTCTTCAGACAATCAGAGTTTAGGGCAAAAGGTCTCTTCTGCTGTTTGATTTTCAAATCTGCCTTGGAGTTTCTGTTGTTCTTCCTGCTAGGTAGGATTCAACTTGTATGAAACAGAATGCAGGATGCTTTTTTAGAGATCCCATTAATCCTGAGTGCTGTTAGCTTCATTCTGGTTTTTCTTTTCCCTAACGCATCCTATTGAGACTTTGTCTAGTGTAGGATGTGAAAAAGCCTGATGCATATAGTATTCCAAATCTTTAGTCTTAAACACTAATTTCAGCTTTTAAAACTCGGTACCAGCACTCAGAAACTTTTTGTTTTGCCAGGGCATGCCATCTGTGATACAATGAGTATTCCTGACTCAATGGGAGGGTAGTACATTGATTTCTCAAAGTATTTTCCCATCACAGATATAAGTACATAGGAAAATATAATTCCTTATTTGGTTTTCCTTTGTAATACAGAGGGTTTGTAATATAGTGTGTTTAATACCTTTAATACTACATTATAAATTTTTTGACAGCAAGTACTATGTCTTATTTGTTTCTGTATTCATCAAAGTGATCAACTAGAGGGTGCCCAGTGACTTGATTTATTGTGACATTAACAATACAAGGTTAAACTTGCCATGATCAGGTAAATAGGGTAGTTTATTAAGGCTGGCTGGGCCAGCTTCCCTAGTCAACTAACACTGGCCTGAAATATAAAATAATATGTGGTTGTCAGATACTAAATTAAATGATCTGAGTACTACTGCAACTTATTAAAGGACTTTATTCAATTTTTAAAAGAAAGAATACTGGATTACCGAAGGCTTTTCTGGTCTCCCCTTCTATTCTTTAGGTCTTCCCAAAAGTTATCTCCTGGGAAAATGCCAATACGTGATCACAACTCTGGTGTTGAAGATGAAGATTTTTCTCCAAGACCAATTCCTAGTCCTCATCCAGTGAGTCAGAAGGTATTACTGATTTTAAAATGCATTCACTTTTGTGGTTAGAGACCTAAGTCTCTTCATGGTTGAAACACTAAATAATACCACCTGAAACCTAAGTATCATTCTTAGATATATCTAGCTATTTCTGTCTCTATGGTTATATCTATATACAGAGATATAAGTATTTCACAGTTATATATAATAATTCGTGTTATATGTAATGATATATACATATATACATATGTGTAATATCTATGTAATAAGCATGTATTTCTTCCTAGAGTAAACTGAGACATAGATTAGTTAAGTTGCCTACCCAAGATCACACAACTAGTAAGTAGTAAAGCTGGGATTCTAATTCAGGAGGTTTGGTTTTAGAATCTGGTGCTTTTAATAACCATATAGACTCAAGATTGTATACTATCACTAGAGCTTGACGTTAGATTTTATCACTATATTCTGAGAAAACATTATACTTGATTTCAGAGGTTAATTGCTAAAATTCTTGTCATAACTTTTTGATTGCTACCAACCTGTGGGTTATTTTAGAATTGTTGTTTAATTGGTGTAATTACTTATTTTAGAAGAAAAAGTAATGGGAAGGATTTTTTAAAGTTAATATCAAATTATAACCAAAATCATCACAGCAAGTATTTTGTTTACTCTTAGTTGATATCAATAGAAGGGATAACAGTGAGTGACTTCTTAGTGGAGAAATATTCTGACATATTTATTGGAAGATTTTACTATTTAAGGTACATAAACATTTGCTACTAGATCTGTGAAGACATTCTGCTGTGACAATTTTTTGTAGAGAGGATTTAAAAAGTTGTATAAAACAGTTTCTCATATTATGTTCTGTGATCTTAGCAGTGTTAGTGTTTTAATAAAAAGAGTTCCATTAAGTAAGTTTGGGAAGTGTTTAGTTTTGTTCTTTTAGGGCAAGGACCTTGTTTATTTTGCTTACAATTGTATTCCTAGTGCTTAGCACATAAAACATGCCCAGAAAAAAATTGCTGATGGTCTAAATAAAGAATGAACACTTGTTAATATGTAATTAGATATAATTTGGGAAATACTGGTCTGAGGAAAGTAAAGTATACATTTTCTCCTAAAACCTTTTTTTTCTATTTCTTTCTTATTTGTAGATTTCTAAGATCCAACCATCAGTTCCTGAACTTTCACTTGTGTTGGATGGCAATTTCGTAGAATCAAACCCTCTGCCTACTCCATTGGAAATGGTGAATAATGAAAATCCTCCTTTGATTAACCACTCGGAACACTTGAAGCCTTTGCAACCCCAGCTTTATGATGAGAAACACAGTCCAGAAGTTGAAGCTGGAGAGCCTTCCTTGAGAGGAATACCAAATCAGTTAAACCAGGATAAACCAGCTCTTTTGAGACAGTGCAAAGTAAGACAGCCACCTGCCTGTAAGAAAGGGAACACCCATAGTAGGAACACTGTTAAACCATCTTCTCATAATGGAACATCTCCTGATATATTTGAAAAGCTCCAAGCAGTTTCTGCTGGAAATGTACAAAATGAAGAGTATCCTATAAAACCCTCCAAACTTAATTCTAGGCAGTCTTCTCTTGCCCTGCAGTCCCAACCACCCAATTTTGTTTTTTCACCCCATAATTCAGGAAGACCAATGGAACTTCAGATACCTACTCCCCCACCGCCATCTTACTGTTCCACAAGCGTTTGCAGGTGTTGTCAGCATCATAGTCATATTCAATATAGTCCGCTAAATTCTTGGCAAGGAGCAAACACAGTTGGATCCATTCAAGATGTCCAGTCTGGAGCCCTTCAAAAGCATTCACTATTTCACCCAAGTGAATGTCCAGCTCTGAACTGTAATGCATTCTGTTCTTCAAGTAGTCCTATAACCTTGAGACCTCAGGGAGGTATGGACAGTTGTTCTCCCCACAGCAATATAGAACCATCGTCTGTGGCAAGACTACCTTCACATATGGACTCATGTAACCCACAGCTTTGCACAGTGTGCATGCACACACCCAAGACTGAATCAGATAATGGAATGATGGGACTATCTCCAGATGCATATCGGTTTCTCACAGAACAAGACAGACAGCTGAGACTACTTCAGGCACAGGTTTGCTTGGTGCTTTCCTAGTTCTATTAAATTCTTGGTATTATGATTTCTTAAAAACTGGCACCTCTCCTCCATAATGACGTTTTATAGAATTATAGAATGTCAGAATTAGAAAGGACCTTGGAAACTGAATTCTAGGCTCTCTTGTTTTACAGGTAAGTAAAATGAGGATTAGAGAGAATAATTTAACCCAATGCTACATTGCTAGTTAGTAGTAGAACCATCTTATGCATATCCTAACCTACAATAGAATTGTATTTTTCTTTTATTTTTTGCCTCTAATGAAAAGTCTCTTATAATTAAACCTTTATATACAGCTGAATATAAAGTCTGGACAGTGGCTTCTGCTTCATCTCTAGTTTGTCAACCCTATATAACGCTTAGCCAGTCTGCCCTTAAACAAATAGTTGGAACCTTTCTGTATATCTATACTGGACTTACTCTACTTCTTGTATTCTGAAACGTTCCCTTTCTTCAGAACCTCTCTTGCAGAGTTCTTAGTCTTTTTTTTTTTTTTGAGACAGAGTCTCTTCTGTTGCCCAGGCTGGAGTGCAGTGGCATGATCTCAGCTCACTGCAACCTCTGCCTCCCAGGTTCAAGCAATCCTCCTGCCTCAGCCCCACTAGGAGCTGGGATTACCGGCACGCGCCACCATGCCTGGCTAGTTTTTGTATTTTTAGTAGAGATGGGGTTTTGCCATCTTGGTCAGGCTAGTCTCGACGGAGTTCTTTGTCTTAATTATGTCCTTGCACAGTGTTTAGTGTGTAAGTGTTGTCTTTTTTTCTTCTTTCCTCACTGACGTCCTTCCTCCACATACCTACCCCAAAACAGTTGTTCTTTTCTTTTTCCCCAGCACCAGTGGGAACAACCTGAAATGTAGTTTTAATTTTTTTCTTGCTTCTATAACTATGCAAATACATGTATAATGTGCATATATACATATGATTTTATTTGTTTATTTATTTATTTTTTGGATGAAGTCTCGTGCTGTCGCCCAGGCTGGAGTGCAGTGGCGCAATCTCGGCTCGCTGCAAGCTCCACTTCTGGGGTTCACGCCATTCTCCTGCCTCAGCCTCCCGAGTAACTGGGACTACAGGGGCCTGCTACCACGCCCGGCTAATGTTTTATATTTTTAGTAAAGAGGGGGTTTCACCATGTTAGCCAGGATGGTCTCGATCATCTGACTTCATGACCCACCTGCCTTGGCCTCCCAAAGTGCTGGGATTACAGGTGTGAGCCACCGCGCCCGGCCATACATGATTTTTAAAAAAATCTTTGTTTTGGCCGGGCGCGGTGGCTCACGCCTGTAATCCCAGCACTTTGGGAGGCCGAGACGGGCGGATCACGAGGTCAGAAGATCGAGACCATCCTGGCTAACACAGTGAAACCCCGTCTCTAATAAAACTACAAAAAAAAATAGCCGGGCGAGGTGGCGGGCGCCTGTAGTCCCAGCTACTCGGGAGGCTGAGGCAGGAGAATGGCATGAACCCGGGAGGCGGAGCTTGCAGTGAGCTGAGATCCGGCCACTGCACTCCAGCCTGGGCGACAGAGCAAGACTCCGTCTCAAAAAAAAAAAAAAAAAAAATCTTTGTTTCATAAAATTTGATAAAATTGCATTTTATCAAAAAAAAAGACAATGACATTTTTCAAATCAGTGAAAACGCTTTGGATAGGAACACCTGAGAAGAATTTAGCTCTGCTGTTTTTTAAAATGTAGGTAAATTTGAAATTGTAAAGTATAATTTTTTTTTAATTTTAATTTTTTTTTTTAGAGAAGAGGTCTTACTATATTGCCCAGACTGGTCTCGAACTCCTTGGCTCAAGCGATCTTTCTGCTTTGACCTCCCAGAGTGCTGGGATTATAGGTGTGAGTCACCACTCCCAGATAATGTAAAATATAAATTGGATTTTAACATTATAAACACTTAGCAAAAATTTGAATATACCTAAATATTTTTACGTTGAAAATAATTATTTGTCACTTATTTCCTGTCGTGTCCAAAAAAAGGCTAATCAGAGGCTAAAAGGACCCATTATGCTATTTAGAAATCTTAGTTACTTGGAATTTGTATACTTAAAATGTAATATTACAGATCACAGGCCCTGGTCTAGACTATCTGAATCATTATATTTAGAAAATATGAAATATATGGAAAATGCTTCTGTGTGTAAATACACATAGTATTTTTCTTATATATATATATGAACTTATATTTTTTTTAGGTACTGCTTTTTTAAAAGTATCTTACACATTTTCTGTATAAGTATATATCGAACTCCCTTACCCTGCATGGGTTTCTATTATAACGATATATAATACATTTTCTTTTTTTTTTTTTTTTTTTTTTTTTTTTTTTTTTTATTATTTGTCACTTATTTCTGTCGGGTCCCAAAAAAAGGCTAATCAGAGGCTAAAAGGACCCATTATGCTATTTAGAAATCTTAGTTACTTGGAATTTGTATACTTAAAATGTAATATTATGCAGATCACAGGCCCTGGTCTAGACTATCTGGAATCATTATATTTAGGAAAATATGAAATATATGGAAATGTCATGTGTAAATACACATAGTATTTTTCTTATATATATATATGAACTTATATTTTTTTTAGGTACTGCTTTTTTAAAAGTATCTTACACATTTTCTGTATAAGTATATATCGAACTCCTTACCCTGGTATGGGTTTTATTATAAACGATATAACACATTTTTCTTTTTTTTTTTTGGAGACGGAGTCTTGCTCTGTGCCCCAGGCTGGAGTGCAGTGGCGCGATCTCAGCTCACTGCAAGCCCGCCTCCCGGGTTTACGCCATTCTCCTGCCTCAGCCTCCCGAGTAGCTGGGACTACAGGCGCCCGCCACTGCGCCCGGCTAATTTTTTGTATTTTTAGTAGAGACGGGGTTTCACCGTGTTAGCCAGGATGGTCTCGATCTCCTGACCTCGTGATCCGCCCGTCTCGGCCTCCCAAAGTGCTGGGATTACAGGCTTGAGCCACCGCGCCCGGCTTATAATACATTTTCTAATTGTTCTCCTATTATTTCAACCATTTAAAGCTTCTGCTATTGCAAATAGTTCAGCACTGAACATTCCTATATTTGCATCTTACTACCTATGTGCAAGTATCTAGAAGTAAAACTGTGAAGCCAAAAGGCATAAACATTTTAAATGTTCAAAGATACCCAAATTTGTTCCTGTTGTAGTATTGCAAATCTCATTTTGGTATAAGGGTTAAGAGAGTGGGCTGTGGTACCAGACTCCTTGGATTCTAATCTAGTTTGTGGGTAGTGTAAGTTATATGATCTTGGACAAGTTACCTTACCTCATTGACTTCAGTTTTCTCACATACAAAATAGGGATATACATAAGTTGTATGGAGTTCTTTTTTTTTTTTAATTTATTTTTTTCAGTTGTTTAACATATATGGCAAAGTTGTATGGAGTTCTAAGGATTTGAATGAGTTACCAGATAACGGTGTAAAGTATTGCTGACATATAGTTAGTACTCAATATATGTTAACTATTACTATTATTACATTATTATTATCTTAGTTAATGGTATCACCTCTCATCTCGTCACTCAGGGAAAATTCTCAGGAGTCACAAACCCAGGCTCTACTTTGTGGATATACCCTGAACTTAACTACTCTTTACTATCTTTCCCACTACTAACCTAATTCAAACCACTGTCTGATGACACCCTTACATACCACTTCCATCCAGTACTATCCCCTCATGTTCTCTATACTTGGAAACACCACACCATCTTTGTTTGTTTTTCCCACACCATCTTTAAAGCCCAGGTAAGACTGTAGCACTCTTGCTTAAAATCCTCCAGTGGATTTCCATTGCAATTTGAATAAAATCCAGATGCTTTACTTTGGCCCTTAAAGCCCTTTGTGACTTGGCTTGTCTTTCTCTGCAAACTCATCTCTTATCACTGTCTTCTGTGTTCACTACCCTTTAGCTATGCACTAGTGCTTTTTTCTTTAACTTTTTATTCTTTAAAAATGCCAGAACATGTTTATACTTTAGGTTCTTCAGCTTTTGGTTCCCTTTGCCTGAAATAATCCTCCTGGGGCCCTTCTAATGGTTATTTCCTTCTCATCATTCAGGTACTTAATCACGTTTTTCTGTTCTATTTGTGATAGAAAGTCAGCTCCAGGGAAGGAGCTCACATTCATCACTGTTTTCTTAGCACCTTGAATAGTACTTGATGTGTAATTGTTGCTTAATACATAGTTTGTTACCTGAATGAGTGAAAATGGCTGCTGGAAAGGCTATATCTATTTATTTATTTATTTTTCTAGATGAGATGAATGATGCCAGATTATACCAATCTAATATACCCAAACCATTTTTCCACATCCACATCTCCAACATTAGGCAAACTTAAATTATTACCAGTCTTAGAAGGTGTTTTTTTTGGTTTTTTTGGTTTTTTGTTTCTGAGGTAGAGTTTCACTCTTTCACCCAGGCTGGAGTGATATGGCGCAGTCTGCACTCACTGCAACCACCACCTGCCCCACGGGATTCAAGTGATTCTCCTGCCTCAGCCTCCCCAGTAGCTGGGATTATGGGCACCCACCACCACACTTGGCTAATTTTTGTATTTTTAATAGAGACAGGGGTTTCACCATGTTGTCCAAGCTGGTCTCGAACTCCTGACCTCAGGTGATCCACCTGCCTTGGCCTCCCAGAGTGCTATGATTACGGGTGTGAGCCACCATACCTGGCCTAGAAGTTGTTTTTATTTACATTATATTAACATATGTGGCCGGGCGCGGTGGCTCAAGCCTGTAATCCTAGTACTTTGGCAGACCGAGACGGGCGGATCACGAGGTCAGGAGATCGAGATCATCCTGGCTAACACGGTGAAACCCCGTCTCTACTAAATAAACACAAAAAACTAACCGGGCGAGGTGGCGGGCGCCTGTAGTGCCAGCTACTCGGGAGGCTGAGGCAGGAGAATGGCGTAAACCCGGGAGGCGGAGCTTGCAGCGAGCTGAGATCCGGCCACTGCACTCCAGCCTGGGCAACAGAGCGAGACTCTGTCTCAAAAAAAAAAAAAAGAATATGTAATTGATTATTTTATTATTTATAAGAGTTCATTGTATATGAAGGAAATTGGTCCTTTATCATATATATGTATATGTATGTGGTATTTCTTAGTCTTAAGTGTTTTGCATTTTAACCATTTGTTTTGTATAGAATATTCCAGTTTAGATACAGTTAAATAATGTAGGCCAGGTGCTGTGGCTCACACCTGTAGTCTCAGCACTTTGGGAGGCTGAGGCGGTTGGATCACCTGAGGTCAGGAGTTTGAGACCAGCCTGGTCAAAATGGTGAAACCCCGTCTCTACTAAAAATACAAAATTTACCTGGGCGTAGTAGCGAGCGCCTATAATCCCACTACTCAGGAGGCTGAGGCAGGAGAATTGCTTGAACCTGGGAGGCGGAAGTTGCAGTGAGCCGAGATTGCACCACTACACTCCAGCCTGGGCGACAGAGCAAGACTCTGTCTCAAAAAAAAAAAAAAAAAAAAAAAAAGTATCAGTCATTCTCTTTCTGGGTTTTATGTTTAGAAAAGCCTTCTTCCTTTCAAGATTATAAAAAATTTATTCTTGGCTGGGCACAGTGGCTCATGCCTGTAATCCCAGAACTTTGGAAGGCCAAGGTGGTTGGATCACTTGAGCCCAGGAATATGAGACCAGCCAGGGCAACATAGTGAGACTCCATCTCTACAAAAAATTAAAAATAAAAAAATAACTGACCATGATGTTGTACACCTGTAATCCCAGCTCCTTGGGAGACTGAAGCAGGAGGATTGCTTGAGCCCAGGAAGTGGAGGCTGCAGTGAGCCAAGACCGTGCCACTGTACTCTGGCCTAGGCAACAGAGTGAGATCCTGTCTCAAAAAATATATATATTTTTTATTTATTTATTTTTGAGATGGAGTCTCGCTGTGTTGCCCAGGCTGGAGTGCAGTGGTGCAATCTCGGCTAACTGCAAGCTCCACCTCCTGGGTTCACTCCATTCTCCTGCCTCAACCTCCCGAGTAGCTGGGACCACAGGCGCCCGCCACCACGCCTGGCTAATTTTTTGTATTTTTAGTAGAGACAGGGTTTCACCGTGTTGGCCAGGATGGTCTCAATCTCCTGACCTCGTGATCCGCCCGCTTCAGCCTCCCAAAGTGCTGGGATTACAGGCGTGAGCCACTGTACCTGGCAAAAAAATCTTTTTAAGAAATTCTGCCTCTCCCTCCAGGATTATATTTGTTGCTTCTTTTTTATTTGGTAAGTTTTTTTTTTTTTTTAATCAGATGACTGGCCTCATATATTTATTTAGTAAATACATATCTTTTTATGAATGATTTAGAGATGCTTTTTGTTGTTGTTGTTGTTGAGACAGGGTCTTGCTCTGTCACCCAGGCTGGAGGGCACTGGTGTGATCTCGGTTCACTGCAACCTCCGCCTCCTGGGTGCAAGTCCTTCTCTTGCCTTTACCACCTGAGTAGCTGGAATTGCAGCCGTGCGCCCCCACGCCCAGCTAATTTTTGTGTTTTTAGTAGAGACAGGGTTTCACCATGTTGGCTAGACTGGTCTTGAACTCCTGACCTCAAGTAGTCCACCTGCCTTGGCCTCCCAAAGTGCTGAGATTACAGGCATGAGCCACTGCACCCAGCGAGAGATGCATTTTTTTATTGTATGATGAAAGTATCATATGTTTGCATCTATTTCTGAACTATATTCTGCTCCACTGATCTGCCTGCCCCACCACTACTAGTTACCATTTGATTTAATCACCCACAGCTTTATATTTTAATATTCCAACTTCAATGGCTTTTTTTTTTTTTTTTTCTAATGGAGAAGATGCAGCTTGAGGAGAGAAACTTTGAAAAATAACACTGAAGTCCTGCCAGATGATCCTTAAAAGTTCTGAGAAAGAGGCCAGGCGTGGTGGCTCACGCCTGTAATCCAGCACTTTGGGAGGCCGAGGCGGGCGGATCACCAGGTCAGGAGATCAAGACCATCCTGGCTAACATGGTGAAACCCGGTCTTTACTAAAAAAATAGAAAAAATTAGCCGGACGTGATGGCTGGTGCCTGTAGTCCCAACTACTTGGGAGGCTGAGGCAGGAGAATGGTGTGAACCCGGGAGGCGGAGCTTACAGTGAGCTGAGATGTGCCACTGCACTCCAGCCTGGGCGACAGGGTGAGACTCCATCTCAAAAAAACAAAAAAGAAAAGTTTTTAGAAAGAAAGAATATTAGCTATTTCCAATGTTAAAATGTACTACAGAATTCTAGTGATTAACGTTTTAAAAACACTGGGTGATCAATTTTAGGACCTGAGTGTGTGTAATGTCTTTTATTGTGCATTTCCTATGTGATTTCTCTACACCTCACTTTTCTCATCTATAAAATAGGAAAAATTATCAGTATTATCTGCAGATTTAAGGGTTAGATGAGTGTATGTGTGTATGTATGTATGTATATAAAGTGCTTAGTATGGGACCTAGCTATAGTAAGTACACAACAAATTATAACTGTTTCATTTATCTCTTTTAACAACCTTAGTTTTAGGTGATATTGAAGCTCATAGTGGTTAACTTTTCCAAAAGGTAGCAGGGTAGGATTTAAACTTATAACCATAAGATTATAACCAATTTAGATTTATAACCATAAGATTATAACCAATTTAGATTTATAACCATATGATACCAAAGCCCGTACTCCAAACCACTATAAATACACATGCCATTTTATACTATTAGCGCAGTTTATATTTCTACTGACCTTAATAATTGACTGATGATACTGATTTTCCTACATTAATAAGGTTAATCCACTAAAATTAATTATATTGAGCACAGTAGTGCCATTTGTAGAGAAGCAGAAAATCATAGTGTTTACAAAGGGAGGCTCTTCCACTCCTAGTTACGTAACCAACAGAAGTGAAAAAAATATGTCCTCACAAAAAGCTGTATATAAATGTCCATAGTAGCGTTATTCCTAATAGCCCAAAATGAAAACAACCTAAATGTCTGTCAACTGATGAGTGGAAAAGCACAATGTGACATATCCATATGAGGGAATGTTATTCAGCAATCAGAAGCAATAAAGTGTTAGTAAATGCTACAACATGGTTGAACCTTCAAAATATTATGCCAAGTGGTGAAAGAAGCCAGATATAAGGCCACAGTATGGTACTGTTTATATAAAATGTCCAGAACAGGCAAATTCAGAGATAGAAATCATGTTAGACCATCAGGGGCTGGGAAGAAGGGCAATAGGGAGTGGCTGCTAATGGGTACAGAGTTTTGGGGGTTTGATGAAAGTGTTCTGGAATCAGATAGTGGTGATTGTTGCACACTGTGAGTATACCAAAAACCACTGAATTGTACACTTTAAAGCAGCTAATTTCATGGTACGTGAATTATATCTCAATTTAAAAAGGAAGAGGGGAGACTTTTGGTGTTTGAACCTCAGCTTTCAGATTTGCTACTTGTTATATGACCTGTACAAGTAACTTAACTTTTTCCTTGCCTCAGATTTTCTTACTTGTAAAAAAAGGTTTAATTGTAGTATACTCTTCAGAGGATTGTTGTAAAAAATCATACATAAATGCCTGTAGTAATAGGGTCTTGCAAACAACAGGCGCTCAGTAACTGTTAGCCATTGTTATTAATATATCCAATTTCAACATGGCCAAACCTGGGCAATTCTGATTTACCTTTATAATAATCTTGTGTGATATGTTCAGTATGTGGTATATGGAATCAGAGTATACCTCCAATCTAACTTTTGATTTATAAGTGAAATAGGAATAGAATGTTAGTTTGAAATATTAACCATTCACACTTTTTTACATGAGTATCAACTTATGAATACTAAGCTAAACACCTTTATGTTTTGCTTTTAAATGTATACTTAAAAGGCTGAGGTGGACAGATTGCTTGAGGCCAGGAGTTCGAAACCAGCCTGGGCAACATGGCAGAACTCCGTCTCTACAAAACATGCGAAAATTAGCCAGGCATGGTGGTGCATGCCTGTAGTCCCAGCTACCCAGGAGGCTGAGGTGGGAGGATCGATTGAGCCCGGGAGGTTGAGGCTGCAGTAAGTCATGATTGCAGCATGGCTGGGTGACAGAGCAAGACCCTGTCTCAAAAAAAAAAAAAGTATACTTAAAGTGCTTCTTAATTACTAGTGATAATGGCTTTCTATATTGAATAGGTTTTATGGTATGGTCTAGTTGAAATGTGAGAAAATAGACTTGAAAGTCAGTTTCTTATAACTAGGGCGCTTTGTAATTCATTATTAAACTGCAGCCAGTTTTGTTGATTACTTCCCTGTCAGTTTAAAGTATATTTTTAATTGATACAGATTCAGCGTTTGTTGGAAGCACAGTCTCTGACGCCCTGTTCCCCTAAGACAACCACCATTGAAGACACAGTGCAAGCTGGAAGACAAATGGAGTTGGTTTCCATGGAAGCACAGTCTTCCCCTGGCTTGCACATGAGAAAAAGTGTAAGCATTGCTGTGAGCACAGGTGATTTCAGTTTTTTTTAATTTGTAAGAAAATTTTAAAAAATGCTTTTCATATCCGGTTTTTGAATTTTATGTTCAAATTGGTGCACAGCGCAATAGGACCAAAACCAAGGTGATGAGAGTATGACTTAAGTTTTTGTGTAATTTTAGTTTTTGTGAAATAAAACTACACCTGCAAACATGCAAACATGATATATTGTTTGGTTTTGCTACTTTTCTAGACTGGACCGAATTCTTTTTTTTTTCTTTTTTTTTTTGCGACAGAGTCTCCCTCTGTTCCCCAAGTGAGAATGCAGTGTGGTGCACTCTCAGCTCACTGCAACCTCCACATCCTAGGTTCAAGCAGTCCTCCTGTCTCAGCCTCCCAAAGTGTTGGGATTACAGGCGTGAGCCACTGCGTCCAGCCAGTCTTGGTTGTATTAATTTATTTTCATAAAATCACCCAAGTGTATCCTCAGCGTAGAAACCATTTTGACTAGGATTTACTTTTTTTTTTTTTTTTTTTTTTTTTGAGACGGAGTCTCACTCCGTCACACAGGCTGGAGTGCAATAGCATAGTCTTGGCTCACTGCAGCCTCCACCTCCTGGGTTCAAGTGATTCTCCTGAGTAGCTGGGACTACAGTCGCATGCCACCACACCCAACTAATTTTTGTATTTTTAGTAGAGATGGGGTTTCACTATGTTGGCCAGGCTGGTCTCCAATTCCTGACCTCGTGATCCACCCGCCTCAGCCTCCCAAAGTGCTGGGATTATAGGCATGAGCCACTGTGCCCAGGCTACTTTTTGGTTTTAACCATGTGTTTAAACCCTTATGTATTAGCAGTGTTCCTCAAATTATAGAATGCCTATGGCTCGTGGTACAAAAGATGATTTAGGGTGTTGTACACATTAATATTTATATTTTGTAAATACATCTTTTCCAATACTTATAGGTATAAATACAATAAGCATATCAAATCTGTGATTTTACAGAAATAATGAGGCTCAGTGAAAAAAAACGAGTTAATTTAAAGAAAGAGAGTGAGTAAACAATATTACGTGCAAGTAGCTCTGAAGATAGGTGTAAGTGGTTCATAAAGATTGAGAAATAGGCTGGGCAAAGTGGCTCACGCCTATAATGTCTGCACTTTGGGAGGTCAAGGCAGGTGGACTGCTTGATGCCAGGAGTTTGAGACCAGCCTGGTCAACATGATGAAGCCCCATCTTTAAAAAAAACACAAAAATTAGCCACATATGGTGGTGCACACCTGTAGTCCCAGCTACTCAGGAAGCTGAGGTGGGAGGATCACCTGAGCCCAGGGACGTTGAGGCTGCAGTGAGCCATGATTGTGTCACTGTACTCCAGCCTGTGCAACAAAATGACACTCTGTCTCAAACGAAAAAAAAAGATTGGGAAATATTTGATTTTTTTTTTAAATACCTGCCTGATATTATAGATATTAAACGTGTCTGATGCATCACCAATATAGTCTCTTAAATATTGCATTTAAGTATCAAAATCAGAGAACCTAGGGATTTGTATTTTATATATTATCTCATATTATTCAGAGCAGCAGTTTTCAACATACACACCCCACCCCACAGATCATATTCAGAACCTTAATATGTAAAACAAATCATTTCAGAGCCACCCTCCTTGAAAAAGCAGAACCCAGAATGTGCCCTTCCATGCCACCCATCCCCCAGTTTTTTGTCTTTCTGTCTTCCACCTACCTCTTCCTGGCATTTCTGAAGAAATATAATCTAAAAACTTAGTTCTAAGTAATTGTGTGTGTGTGTGTGTGTGTGTGTGTGTGTGTATATATATATATATTTTTTTTTTTTGAAGCAAAGTCTCACTGTGTTGCCCAGGCTGGAATGCAGTAGCACAATCACAGCTCATTGCAGCATCGACCTCCTAGGCTCAAGTGATCTTCCATCTCTGCCTCCAAGTAGATGGGACTATAGGCACGCCACCACACCTGGCTAATTTTTTTGTATTTTTTTTTGTAGAGACAGGATTTCTCCATGTTGCCCAGGCTGGTCTCGAACTCCTGAGCTCAAGTGATCCTTCCGCCTCTGCCTCTCAAAGTGTTGAAATTGCAGGCATGAGCCATTGCACCTGGCCAATATGGCTATTCTTAACAAAGGTTTGGCAGAGTATTATTTTTAAAGTTGAATGTTTGTTTCAGTATCTTAAATTATTTAACCTCCAGGTGCTAGCTTGTTTTGGAATGCAGCTGGTGAGGATCAAGAGCCTGACTCTCAACTGAAGCAAGATGATACCAAAATTTCCAGTGAGGACATGAATTTTTCTGTTGATATTAATAATGAAGTCACAAGTCTTCCAGGTAGTGCATCTTCATTAAAAGCAGTTGATATTCCCAGTTTTGAAGAGAGCAACATTGCTGTGGAAGAAGAATTTAACCAGCCACTTTCTGTATCCAAGTAAGGTCTCTTTGATTTAGTCTTTCATCCTACTTTGAAAAAAAAATTTTAATAGACAAATAATAATTGTATATATTTGTGGGGCACAATGTTTAGATGCATGTTTACAGTGTGGAATGATTAAATCAGACCAACAAATCTGTCACTTCACATACTTAACTGTTTCTGTGGTAAAAACATTTAAAATCTATTAGCAATTTTGAAATATACAATGCATTATTATTCATTACAGTTGCCGTTCTGTTCAGGTTTTTTTTTGTTTTTAATTCTAATTTCTTTGAAGTCTTCTAACTCAGAAATGATTTATTTTCTAACTGATATTTTCATTTATGTCTTTACTTGATATGATTTCTATGTAACTGTCAACTGTGAGCCTTCTAGAACCATTTCCAGATGTCAGTCATTGGCTATATTAACAGTCTAGATCAATCAGAAATCGGAAGAAAACTTCAAAAATACACAAAATTGGACTCCAGCCTGGGTGACAGAGCGAGACTCCGTCTCAAAAAAAAAAAAAAAAAAAAAAAATACACAAGCTCAGGCCTCACCCTAGAGTTTCTGATAATATGAGGTTCCAGATAGAGATGGAGAAATTTTTTTTTTTTTTTTTGATGGAGGCTCTCTCTGTCGCCCAGGCTGGTGTGCAGTGGCGCGATCTTGGCTCAGTGCAAGCTCCGCCTCCCGAGTTCACACCATTCTCCTGCCTCAGCCTCCCGAGTAGCTGGGACTACAGGTGCCTGCCACCAAGCCCAGCTAATTTTGTTTTTGTATTTTTAGTAGATACGGGGTTTCACCGTGTTAGCCAGTATGGTCTCGATCTCCTGACCTCGTGATCTGCCCACTTCAGCCTCCCAAAGTGCTGGGATTACAGGCGTGAGCCACCACACCCAGCCAAGAAATTTCTTTTCTTTATTTTATTTTATTTATGTATTTATTTTTGAGATGGAGTTTCGCTCTTGTTGCTCAGGCTGGAGTGCAATGGTGCGATCTTGGCTCACTGCAATCCCCGCCTCCTGGGTTCAAGTGATTTTCCTGCCTCAACCTCCTGAGTAGCTGGGATTACAGGTGCCTGCCACCACACTGGGCTAATTTGGTTTGTATTTTTAGTAGAGATGGAGTTTCCCATGTTGGCCAGGCTGGTCGTGAACTCCTGACCTCAGGTGATCCACTAACCTTGGTCTCCTAAAGTGCTGGGATTACAGGCATGAGCCACTGTGCCCGGCCTATTTTATTTTATTTATTTTTTGAGACAGAGTCACCCAAGCTGGAGTGCAATGGCACTGTCTTGGCTCACTGCAACCTCTGCCTCTCAGGTTCAAGCCATTCTTGAGCCTCAGCCTCCCAAACAGCTGGGATTACAGGCGTATGCCACCACACCCAGCTAGTTTTTGTATTTTTGGTAGAGATGGGGCTTCCCATATTGGCCAGGCTGATCTCGAACTCCTGACCTCAGGTGATCCACCTGCCTCAGCCTTCCAAAGTGCTGGGATTACAGGCATGAGCCACTGTGAGATGGGGAAATTTCTAAAGATTCTCCATATTGCAATTATATATAAAAGAGTCTATTTTTGAGAGATAGAACCTGAATATTTGTATATGAAATGTTATCTGAGATTTGCTTCAAATTAGTTCTGTGAGAGAACGAAATGGCTAGGAGTATAAATGAAATAAGATAGACTATTTGTTGGTAATTTTTGAAGTTGATTGTATGTGGTGATTTGTAAAATAATTCTCTCGTGTTTGAAATTTTTCATTATGAAATTTTCCATTAAATAAGTATTCTAGACGAGACTCAATGACTCATGCTTGTAATCCCAGCACTTTGGGATGCTGAGGCAGGTGGATCACCTGAGGTCAGGAGTTTGAGACCAGCCTGGTCAACATGGGAAACCCCATCTCTACTAAAAACACAAACATTAACTGGGCATGGTGGTGCACACATGTAGTCCCAAGTACTTGGCAGGCTGAGGCAGGAGAATTGCTGGAACCCAGGAGGTGGAAGTTGCAGTGAACCGAGATTGCACCACTGCACTCCAGCCTGGGTGACAGAGCAATACTAAGTCTCAAAACAAAACAAAAAAACAGATTCTGAAGTAATTTTTTTTTTTTTTTTTTAATACTCTGTCTGTCTCCCAGGCTAGAATACAGTGGCGCAATCCCGGCTCACTGCAACCTCAGCCTCCCAAGTAGCTGGGACTACAGACGCAGGCCACTACACCTGGCTAATTTCTGTATTTTTAGTAGAGACAGGGTTTCGCCACGTTAGCCAGGGTGGTCTTGAACTCCTGATGTCAGGTGATCCACCTGCCTTAGCCTTTCAAATTGTTGGGATTACTGGTGTGAGCCACTGCACCCGGCCTAAAGTGGTTTATATCCTCAGCAAATTTGGAAACAAACTCAGCAAATATTATTTGAGTTTCTGGTATGTGCTACCACAAAACTAGACACTAAATATCAAATACTAGGTTAGGCAAAGCTCCTCACTTTATGGAATTTAACCACATGAGCTGCAAATAACATAATTTCATATAGTGACAACTGCTCTGACAAAGTAAACTGGAACGATCAAGTGCAGTGTAACTGGGATTGTAGCCTGGGTACAAGGTGCTATATTAAAGTAGAGTGCTGAAAGAAACCATCTCTGAGGGGGTGACATTTGAGTAGTGACCTGAATGATGAGAAGGGGCCAGTCATGATAATATCTGGGGATGAGTATTCCAGGTGGATGAAACAGCAAGTGTAATGGCAAGTGTGAGCTTAAAAGTTACAGAAATAAGCATGAAAGCCAGTGTGGCTGGACATAGTGATTGAGAGGGAGAGTACAGGAAATGAAGTCTGAGATACAGGTAGGAGCCAAATTATGTGGGGCTTTGTAGGATATAGAAAAGAATTTTGAATTTATTCCATGCTCATTAAAGCCAGTGGAGGATTTTAGATAATGGAGTGTTATGATCTGATTTTCATTTTCGAAGGCCATTCTAATTGTTTCTTGGAGAACCGAAGGATGTTAAGAGTGGAAGCGAGGATACTAACTGGTTAATAGACTAAAAACAAAGTGAGATGAAGGTGCCTTGGACTTGTGGAATTCATGGAAGGGATCAGGTGTAGGATAAATTTTGAAGGTAAAAGAAAAATGTAGGTATAAAACATCCCAGGATTATAGCACATGAAACAGTTTAAATAATTTGGAATTTGAGACCAGGCTAGGCAAAATAGTGAGACCCTGTCTCTATAAAAATATATTTTAACTTAGCTGGGTGTGGTGGTATGTGCCTGTAGTACTTCCACCTACTCAGGAGGCTGAAACAGGAGGGTTTGAGGCCAGAAGTTTGAGGTTGCAGTGATCTATGATAAGTGCCATTGTACTCCGGCTTAAATAACAGAGTGAGACTCCATTTCTAAAAAAAAAAAAGGTGAACTGGTGAGGTGGCATGGGGCGGGCAGTAGATTACTTTTTAGAGATTATAAGCCTTGTGATATTTGACATTTTAAATCATTGTGATTACAATCATGGTTAAAACAGTAAGCATGTCCCTTCAGAAAACTACAGAGAAACATCTCCTTTTAGTATAGTATATGTTTTAATTATAAGATTCAATTAAGCACTCATTGTATGTGCCACAGTATACGGAAAAGCTCTTTTGTGTATGTTAGATTGAGTTCCTACAGGGTAAGGATCATAGTAATTTCCATATTTTTAGAATTTGCTGGGCTTGGTGGCTCATGCCTGTAATCTTAGCACTTTAGGAGGCCGAAGTGAACCAATTGCTTGAGCTAAGATATTTGAGACCAGCCTGGGTAACATGGCAAAACCCTGTCTCTACCAAGATTACGAAAATTAGCCCTTGGTCTCAGCTATTCCGGAGGCTAAGGTGGGAGGATTGCTGGAGCCTGGGAAGTTGAATCTGCAGTGAGCTGTGATCACGCCACTGCACTCCAGCCTGGGTGACAGAGAAAGACTGTTTTTTGTTTTTTGTTTTTTTTTTTTTTGAAACAGAGTCTTGCTCTGTCATCCAGGCTGGAGTGCAGTGGTGCAATCTCAACTCACTGCACCCTCCGCCTCCTGGGTACAAGCGATTCTCCTGCCTCAGCCTGCCAAGTAGCTAGGATTACAGACACCTGCCACCACGCCTGACTAATTTTTGTATTTTTAGTAGAGACAGGGTTTCTCCATGTTGGCCAGGCTGGTTTCCAACTCCTGACCCCAGATGATCCGCCCGCCTCAGCCTCCCAAAGTGCTGGGATTAAAGGTGTGAGCCACCATGCCCGGCCAAAAAAAAATAATTAATTAAAAAAAACTACAGTTCGACCCAGTGTCTGGTTCCCCATGGGGTGAGCCCCAAACTAGGTCTGCAGTTTATTTAGAATAATTATAGAAACTGAGGACAAAGAGGAGCAAACCATGGGATCTTTACTTATTCTCCTTGACTTAACTCTGTAAACTCAGACTACTTCCTAGAATAATCGGGGTTTTCAGATTGGAATTTTTAAAAATATCCAATCTGTTGCGGTGTTTTGTTTTGTTTTTGAGATAGAGTGTTGCTCTGTCACTCAGGCTGGAGTGCCGTGGTGTGATCTTGGTTCACTGCAACCTCCACCTCCTGGTTTCCAGAGATCCTTCTGCCTCAGCCTCTCAAGGAGCTGGGATTACAAGTGTATGCCACCACACCCAGCTAATTTTTGTATTTTTAGTGAACACGGTGTTTCACCATGTTGACCAGGCTGGTCTCGAACTCCTGACCTCAAGTTATCCGCTTGCCTCGGCCTCCCAAAGTGCTGGAATTACAGGTGTGAGCCACCATGCCCTTGTTCTGCCCTTTTTTTTTTTTTTTTTTTTTTTTAACTTTAGAAACAGATCTGAGTTAATGGATAGAATGAAGTTAATTGCTTTTTCAGAGCAATTAATTAACTGATCCCACCACATAACTAGATGTAAATCTAATCTTTGTTCAGCATCGATTTGGGTTGTTGATTTGGAATAAATACTTTCTCCAGTGTTATCTGTGGTGGTTTTGGTGCTTCTCTGGGATCCTTCTCGCACATTTGGTCTGATTTGTGCTCTGGTTCCCACTGCTGAGTATTTATAGATGAAACCCAACTCTGGGGCTTCCAGTCCCCCTTAGATGTCTTGTTGGATCAGTGTTTCTGATGTTGAAGCAGTCTGTGAAAGATAAATTTATTTGCCTTGCAGCTTAATTGGTTATTGATTACCTTTTCCCAGCAGTGAGTAGTGGTATGAAGTATTTATAGAGACTTTCTTTTAAAATGATCCATATTTTTCTTTAGAAGCTGTGCTTTGGACATACCTGATAATACTTGGCATATTAGAAGCATTTTAAATTTTTTTATTTAATCTTTTGTTGAGATTTGGCATTTTTATTTATTTCTTTTTCTTCCCCCTAAAGAGTGTAGACATTTATTTATTTATTTTGACTTATAAACAACAGAAATTTATTTCTCATTGTTCTGAGGGCTGGAAACTCCAAGATTGAGACACCAGCAGATGTAATGTCTTGTAAGGGCCCATTTCCTGGTTCATCGTTATGCCTCTTCGTTGTGTCCTCACATGGTGAAAGGAGCTATCTAGCGCTTGGTGTTATTTTATTAAGGACCCTTGTAATCTTTAATGTTTTGGGTTTGTTCTTTTTCAGTTTTGTTTTTCGCTTCCTAGGTTAGACACCAAGACAGATATTTTTAAATCCTTGAGGCCATGTGCAGTGGCTCACGCCTGTAATCCCAGCACTTGGGGAGGTCAAGGCAGGCAGATCACCTGAGGTCAGGAGTTTGAGACCAGCCTGTCCAACATGGTGAAGGCCCATCTCTACTAAAAATAGAAAAACTAGCCAGCCATGGTGGCACATGCCTGTAATCCCAGCTACTCAGGAGGCTGAGGCAGGAGAATCGCCTGAACCTGGGAGGCAGAGGTTACGGTGAGCTGAGATCACGCCACTACACTCCAGCCTGGTTGACACGGTGAGACTCTGTCTTAAAAAAAATAAAAATAAAAAACTTGAAATGAACAAATAACATATCTAAAATATTTAAATATTCTAAAAATTTCCATTGCCATCAAGTTCAGGAGAAGTCAACAGCTTGTTTTCCAGGCTTCAAAGAAAGTTGTCTTAAATATAAGTAACACAAGTTAAAAGGTACCATGGTTTCGTTTATATGCAGCCTGTTAAAATGGAGTGTTTTCGTTTTTGTTTCTTATAGAAACAGGACCTTGCTCTGATGCATAGGCTGAGTACATGGTACAATCATAGCTCACTGCAGCCTCGAATTCCTGGGCTAAGTGATTCTCTTGCTCAGCCTCCTGAGCAGCTAGGATTACAGGTGCATGGTGCCACACTCAGCTAATTAAAACAAATTTTTTGTGAAAGTGGGGTCTCCATGTGTTCCCCAGTCTGATCTTGAACTTCTCACCTCAAACTTCTCTTGCCTTGCTCTCCCAAAACACAGATTACAGGCATGAGCCACTGCACCTGGCTAAGATGGGATGTTTATGTAGCATCACTAAGAGCTAAAAATACAAACCAGATGCTGCTTGAGTCTTAACCCTTTCTTGTAAAGTTACTACATTTCAATTATATGTTAAAGGTACCTCAGTGACTAACACATTATATATCCTTCCCAGCAGCTCTTCTCTAGTTGTGAGAAAAGAACCTGATGTACCTGTGTTCTTTCCAAATGGCCAGCTGGCAGAAAGTATAAGCATGTGTTTACAGACTGGACCAACAGGGGGTGCCACTAACAATTCTGAAACATCAGAGGAACCAAAAATTGAGCAAGTAATGCAACCCTTGCCTCATCAACCATCAGATAACCAGAAAATTTACCAGGATTTATTGGTAAGAAAATGTAGATCATTTCATCTTTTTGAGAAGGTTATTTAGTATAGGATATACTAGTTAAGCTTTTCCTAGGTTTAAACTGATGGAGACCTTAACATAAAAAGATTTTTGCCTAATTGACAATGTAGCATTTCTTTTAGCTTTTCATAAATTATAACTTAAATTCAGTAATTTACTGTAAATATACTTAAGTACTTAGAAAAACACAGCTTTATTTTTAAAGTGTAAATATTGATATGCCTAATTCAAACCAAAATTAGTATTAGAAAATAAGCAACTTTCTTGGAAATTTGAAAATTGGAAAGTAGTGGGATATTTATGATAATATTTACTGATTTTAGTTTAGGTAAGCCAATGTTTATTAAATACTTAGCTTAGTCTAAGACAGTAGGCTCAGTGAAATCGATAATATAAAGGTGAATATGACACTCTGTGCCCTTGAGAGCCTAGGGGAAACAACAGCACATGCAGACTAGTAAACAATTATAAGACAGGCTGTTGAGGAGTAGTAGTGTAAAGCAAAGAGAACACAGAATAAAAGGGATAATTCTGATTGGAGGAACTAGTCTTATAAAACTTAAAATGTGATCTGGGACTTAAAAGATAGAGAAACCCTGACTGTTACTTTCATCCAAATTGTAGAGCATTTGATTTGTCCATTTGTGAGAAGGCTAATTAAACATACTTCACAGGGCCCTATGTATTCATCAATGAACACTTATTTGTTATTTGCTTGCTAGGTCCTAGACTGGTGCTAGCAGCTTGTATGCTCAGGGAATGAAATATGCAGAAATAGTATCACAGGTCGTTCTTACTTTTAGAAAGTGAGAAGAAAAGGAGCCTAATTCTGTGAATATCATAAAGGCCTAATTTATAACTGAAACGTATTATCACTTTTCAAATGAAAGCATTATTTAAAAGTTCTTTATAAAAAATTTGGCATAAATCTTCGAAAATACTTGGAGAATTACTCAAAAGAGGTTTGTTTGTTTGTTTGTTTTTGTTTTTGTTTTTTTTGAGACAGGGTCTTGCTGTGTCGCCCAGGCTGGAGTGCAGTGACATGATCTCAGCTCACTGTAACCTCTGCCTCCCGGGTTCAAGCGATTCTCGTGCCTTCCAGGTAGCTGGGACTAACAGGCACCTGCTACCACACCTGGCTTTTTTTTTTTTTTCTTTTGAGGCAGAGTCTCACTCTGTTGCCCAGGCTGGAGTGCAGTGACATGATCTCAGCTCACTGCAGCTTATCCCTCCCAGGTTCAAGTGATTGTCCTGCCTCGGCCTTTCAAGAGGCTGGGACCACAGGTGCACGCCACCACACCCGGCTAATTTTTGTATTTTAGGCAGAGACAGGGTTTCACTATGTTGGTCAGGCTGGTCTTGAACTCCTGGCCCACCTTGGCCTCCCAAAGTGCTGGGATTACAGGTTTGAGCCATGCGCCTGTACTCAAATGATTTTTAAATATGATGGTTTTTATTTTTATTTATTTATTTATTTTTTTAAGACAAGAGTCTGTCTGTCACCCAGGCTGGAGTACAGTGGCGCCATCTCAGCTCTCTGCAACCTGGGCCTTCTGAGTTCAAGTGATTCCCATGCCTCAGCCTCCCGAATAGCTGGGACCACAGGCACGTGCCACCACACCTGGCTAATTTTTGTATTTTTGTTAGAGACAGGGTTTCACCATATTGGCTAGGCTGGTCTTGAACTCCTGACCTAAAGTGATCTGCCCACCTTGGCCTCCCAAAGGACTGGGATTACAGGTGTGAGCCACCGTGCCCAGCCTATGTTGGTTTTTGAGTGAATGAAGTCTGAACAAACATTCTGTTTTCTCTAGGGTCTGATGAAATTGTTCATTAGGATGTGCTTCTATAAAAACTCCATAATACCTGCAAATAATACATAATACCTGCCTACTTGATACTTTGTGGAATTTGACAAGATACTGATTTTCCCTGGCCTTATTGTATGATTAAGGTCTTATTGTAAAATTGTTTTTTAACTTTTTTTTAATTTTTCTTTTTTTAGAGACAGAGTCTTACTTTGTCACGCAGCATATAGTGGCACAATCACAGCTAACTGCAGCCTCAGCCTCGTGACTCAAGTGGTCCTCCTACTTCAACCTCCTTAGTAGCTGGAACTACAGGCGTGTGCCAGCATGCCCAGCTAATTTTTAGTTCTTTGTAGAGACAGGATCTCACTGTGTTGCCCAGGGTCTTGAACTCCTGGGCTCAAGCGATCCTCCTACCTCGGCTTCCCAAAGTGCTGGGATTATAGGCATGAACTACCACACCCAACCCTAACATTGTTAATAGTGATTTTTCAAAAAAAATTTTTTTTTCTTTTTGTCAGGGTCAAGTAAACCACCTGTTGAGTAGTTCCTCCAAGGAAACTGAGCAGCCATCTACCAAAGCAGTAATTATCAGTCATGAATGCACCAGAACCCAAAATGTTTACCATACAAAGAAAAACACACATCATTCAAGACTGGTGGACAAAGATTGTGTTCTTAATGCAACTCTTAAGCAACTAAGAAGCCTTGGAGTAAAAATTGATTCTCCCACTAAAGTGAAGAAAAATGCACATAACGTGGATCACGCCAGGTAACTTTTACAATTTTGTTTTAAAGGGAGAATAAATTTTATTTTTTATAAATGTTTATTTATTTTTGCCCATCATTGGCTAGATGTATTGTGGCAATCTCATCAGAAAAGTTATGTTTGTGCCTCAATTCAGTTGATTCACCATTTATTCAGGGCCTACCATATGCATGATGAATAAGAGATTCTTCATTTTTGTGGGAGAGAGGGTTACATACATAAGTAATTTGAGAGATATTATGGGATGACTCCTGGCTGGATAGGCCAACAAAATAGGAGACTTGAGGAAAGAGAAAGGAGTTTCGCTTGGTAGCATCTGAAAAGTCTTTCTGGAGGTGATAAGGTCTGTGCCAGCTACTGGATGTACAGTTAAACAATCGTGCCATCTAAAAAACAAAACCATTTCTTTTTTCTAGGAATGTGCCCAACTGGTCATATCCTTCTGTTCAGATTCCTTTCTACCAAAGATGACCTCAGCACATAACTTATTAAAAAAAAAAAAAAATCTGGAGATTACATTATTAAGGCTAGCATATTTTCTGTTAATTATTTTTTGTTTTCTAATTTAAAAAGTAATAAAAATGGATGGTTTTAAAAAACAAACAATACAGAAGAGAGTGTAAGATAAAATGCAAGCGCCACAACTCCCCACATTCCTGCCTGACTATTCCAAAGTTACTTCTCTTAGGCCAGGCTGGTGGATCATGAGGTCAGGAGTTTGAGACCAGCCTGGCCAAGATGGTGAAACCCTGTCTCTACTAAAAATACAAAAATTAGCTGGGCGCGGTGGCAGGAGCCTGTGATCCCAGCTACTCAGGAGACTGAGGCAGGAGAATCGCCTGAACCCGGGAGGTGGAGGTTGCAGTGAGCCGAGATCGCACCACTGTACTCTAGTCTGGACGACAGAGCAAGACTCAGTCTCAAAAAAAAAAAAAAAAAAAAAAGGCCAGGCTCGGTGGCTCACACCTGTAATCCCCAGCACTTTGGGAGGCCGAAGTGGGCAGATCACGAGGTCAGGAGATCGAGACCATCCTGGCTAACACAGTGAAACCCTGTCTCTACTAAAAACACATAGCCAAGCTGGGTGCCAGGCACCTGTAGTCCCAGCTACTTGGGAGGCTGAGGCAGGAGAATGGCATGAACCCTGGAGGCGGAGCTTGCAGTGAGTCAAGACTGCGCCACTGCACTCCAGCCTGGGCGACAGAGCAAGACTGTCTCACAAAAATTTTAAAAAAGTTACTTCTCTTAACCATTTCTTTTGTATTGTAGAAATGTTCCATGCATTTCACGTATATGTGTATGTGATAAACTTTGTGATTTGATTTTTTAATTTTAATTTTGAGACAGTCTCACTGTGTCACCCAGACTGGAGTGCAGTGGCGTGATCACAGCTCACTTCAGCCTTAACCTCCTGGACTTAAGTGATCCTCCCATCTCAGCCTTTTGAGTAGCTGGCACTACAGGCATACACCACTACTTGGCTAATTTTTTATTTTTTGCAGAGATGGGGTCTTGCTGTTTTTCCCAGTCTGGTCTCAAACAAACTCCTAGACTCAAGCAATCTTCCCACCTTGGCCTCCCAAAGTGCTAGGATTACAGCCATGAGCCACTGCTCCTGGTCTGTTTTTTTGTTTTTGTTTTTCTTTAAACATGATATTATAATATCTTGGATACTTTTCCTTATAGGGATATACAGTTCTTTCTCATATATTTAAACAGCTGCATAATATTCTTTTGTACCCTTGTACTAGAATATATTGAATCCCAGTGCTCTATTAATGGACCTTTAAGCCAAATCTCTTATTTGTTATTTCAAACAATCCTAAGTGAACATCATTCTACAGGTACAAGTATCTTTGTAAGATAAATTCCTGAATAGGCAGGATCAAAGAGTATGTGCATTCAAAGTCTTAGTAGATACTACTACCATTGCTCACCAAATAGTTGTACCAGTTTATATTCCTGCCAATAGTGTAGAAGAGCGAGGCTAGCATTTTTGGAGTTTTTTATCCATGTTGTAAGATAGAGGCTATGTATCCTAACCCTTCCCCTCATGTCAGAACTGAGAACGAACTTGTCACGTTAGTTGCAGTTTCTTACTATTTTAAATGTTGCTATGATGATCTTTTGCAAATATTGCTTTTCAGTTTTAGAATAGAATCTTGGAAATGGAAAGACTAAGATAAAATGATACAAAAATTTTAAAGCCGTTGCTAAGTTGCTTTCTGAAAGAGTAAGTATTATTACCAGCTACATGTATACATGTATGCCAGCTACCATTTCACCAATACATTAACTTCAACAAATACATACTGGGTTTCTACTGTGAGCCAGCTTATAAGAGATATCATAATACACAAAATAACCTGGTAAAGAAAGACATCTTTGTTCCCATAGAGTTTACAGTTCAGTGGGGAAGACACAGATAGTCAATATCTTTTATACCTGCTGTGAAATGGAAGGATAGAGAATGCCATGGAATCACATAGGAGAGGTAGCTAACTTTAAGAGTATTTTCATACTGTGTTGTAATTACATCAAAATGGTCCCTTTTAAAGATCTGTACTAATTAAGACCAAAAATACCTTAAAGTTTTAAAAGTTATATTTTATTATTGATGCAATTTCTGTATATTAAAATTTTTTTTTTTAGTTTTTAAAAATAAGATCTTGCTCTGTCACCCAGGCCTGTCACCCTGGAATACAATGGAATACAATGGTACAATCATAATTTAGGTAACCTCAAATTCCTGGGCTCAAGCCAATCCTCCTGCCTCAGCTTTTTGAGTAGCTGGGACCAGAGGCATGTGCCATCATCTCTATGTCATTTTGATTAAATATGAAACTGTACTGCAATAGTTTCTCCAACATAAGAGTCAAATTTTGTTTCCCAGTTATCTTAGGCTTACGTCTGGAATGTCCTCCCAGCCTATATGAGGCCTACCTGATTAATTCGCATTGTTTCAGTTTGACTTAAACTTAGTTTTTGAGTATAATGGCCTACCACTCTCTACCAAGTTCCAGCCTACTTGCCATTGGCACTTGCAAGACTCCTTGATGTTACTTTTATCTGAGATGCTCTTTTTTACCTTTCTCCTTGCCAAAATCCTTCTTATCCTTCAAAGCTGAACTCAGATGTCACCTCTTTGGACCTCTCAGAGTGTATTGATGTTTTGTACTCTTTTTTTTTTTTGAGATGGAGTTTCTTTTGTGTTGCCCAGGCTGGAGTGCAATGGCGTGATCTCGGCTCACCACAACCTTCGCCTCCCGGGTTCAAGGGATTCTTCTGCCTCAGCCTTCCTGAGTAGCTGGGATTACAGGCATGCGCCACCATGCCCGGCTAATTTTGTATTTTTAGTCGAGACAGGGTTTCTCCATGTTGGTCAGGCTGGTCTTGAACTCCCAGCCTCAGATGATCCACCTGCCTTGGCCTCCGAAAGTGCTGGGATTACGTGTGTGAACCACTGCGCCTGGCCGATGTTTTGTACTCTTAAATTGCCTTGTTCTCAGTAAATTGTAGCATGTACTTGTGACAGCATTTTCAGCAAGTTTTTTTTTTTTTTTTTGAGACAGAGTCTCACTCTGTCGCCCAGGCTGGAGTGCAGTGGCATGATCTTGGCTCACTGCAACCTCTGCCTCCCAGGTTCAAGCAATTCTTCTGCCTTAGCCTTCCTCCCGAGTAGCTGGGACTACAGGTGCGCACCACCACGCCCGGCTAATTTTTGTGTTTTTAGTAGAGATGGGATTTCACTATATTGGCCAAGCTGGTCTTGAACTCCTGACCTTGTGATCTGCCAGCCTCAGCCTCCCAAAGTGCTGGGATTACAGGTATGAGCCACCACATCCGGCGAAGATTTTGCATAGTTCTAAATCCTCATTGCCTCTACCACTAACTTAGTGGGCCTTCAATGAGTCATTTGCTGAACAAACAACATTCCTCCTACTCAGGTCATCACTGAAGCGTACAGTGAAGGTTCATTTTTAGTGTCTTTGTAGTATTTACTGTCAGTATTTAAGACCTTATATTGTTATCTTTTTAACGTGTGTAGGTATAATATAAATGGTATACTAAAAGTTTATAAGGCAGTTGTTTAGAATTTAAGACACATTTTTCTATAGAAACTGTTACAAATTATAGGTTAAATATTCTAGGAAACTAATCCTTATAATCCATACTGTTCCTCTAGCTCTGTAAACCAGACATCTTTCATCATTGTATCGATGTGAAAACTCATTTCATGTTCCAATTCTGGACTCCAGGAGCACATCATTCCACCAGGAGAGTGGCTAAGGCAGGGGAAGGAAGACCTGCTTTCTATTTTCCTGTTAATAGAATGCTGCAGAGATTAAGAGAGTCTAAAGGCAGGAAGGCAGGGAAAGAGGGTGCCAGACAAACCTAGAAATTGTGCAGGAAATGGAGATTGTGGGTTCGAGGTCTAGAAGCAACCTCTACACATAGGTTCCCAATTGGAGCGACTTTTTGAATTCAAAACCTGTCTCAAACAGTCTCTCTAGTTGCTTCTTTACCTTGCTTCCTGACTATCTGGTTAGTAGTTGAAAAACTCTGTTTAGGATAAGTAGTAGATAACTAATCTGGATTCAAATAGGATCATGAATCAAAGTTGATTTTTTTTTTTTTTTTTTTTGAGAGACAGGGTCTCGCTCTATTGCCCAGGCTGGAGTGCAGTGGCACAATCATGGCTCACTGCAGCCTCAATCTCCTGGGCTCAAGTGATCCTCCCACCTTAGCTTCCTGAGTAACTGGGACTACAGGTGTACAGCAGCACACCTGGCTTATTTTTATTTGTAGAGATGGCAGTCTTGATTTTCATCTGAGTTGGAATAATTTTAGAGCTTCCCATAAATTGTTGGCATGTGGCTCTCTTACTCAGATTTATTCATGGACTTTCATCATTCCTTGTGGCTGTACATCTAATGAGATTTTAACATAGGCATATATTTGTGCTTAGGTTTTTAGGATTTGATTAGTGGAGCGGATTCCTTTTTGCTTTTCGTCTTAATTACCCTAGTGTTTATATGCTTTGGTTCTGAGTATTATTGATTTGTTTTTTTAGCGATGTGGTCTCTATTTTGCCTAGGCTGGCCCCTTGAACTCCTGGGCCCAAGCAATCCTCCTGCCTCAGGCTCCTGAGAAGCTAGGACTACAGGTGTGCATACCACTGTGCCTGTCTTGATTTGTTTTACTATTAAAGTAATGATATCTCATTGCCCCTGCCCCACCCTCCAAATTGAAATTGGCTAGCTTGTGTCAGGCATCGAAACTTGAATAGCCTTCTAAACTGATATTAACTACTTTATGGATCTTTTAACCATTCTATAAAAGAAGCTCTAGTTAAAATTAGAGGCTGGTCATGGTGGCTCACGCCTGTAATCCCAGCACTTTGGGAGGCCAAGATGGGAGGATCACTGGAGCTCAGGAGTTCAAGACCAGCCTGAACAACATAGTGAGACCCCATCTTTACAAAAAGAAAAATTTTTGATTAGCTGGGCATGGTGGTATGCACCTGTAGTCCCAGCTACTTGCGAGGCTTTAGTAGGAGGGTCACTTGAGTCTGGGAGGTCGATGCCACAGTGAGCCATTATTGCGACACTGCACTCCAGCCTTAGTGGCAGAGTGAGACCTTATCTCAAAAAAAAAAGTTAATTAATTAAAAAAAAAGGCCGGGCACGGTGGCTCAAGCCTGTAATCCCAGCACTTTGGGAGGCCAAGACGGGCGGATCACGAGGTCAGGAGATCGAGACCATCCTGGCTAACACGGTGAAACCCCGTCTCTACTAAAAAGTGCAAAAAACTAGCCGGGCGAGGTGGCGGGCGCCTGTAGTCCCAGCTACCTACTTGGGAGGCTGAGGCAGGAGAATGGCGTAAACCCGGGAGGCGGAGCTTGCAGTGAGCTGAGATCCGGCCACTGCACCCCAGCCTGGGCGACAGAGCGAGACTCCGTCTCAAAAAAAATAAATAAATAAATAAAAAATAAAAAATAAAAAAAAAACCACCCAAATTAGATCTGCTTTCTTTAAATATTTAACATTTTGAATTAGAAGTTTTCTTTGCTTTTATCACATTGTTTACATTAATATTATCTATAGACTGAGGAAATAGGCAAAGTAGAAAAAGACTTCCAAAAGTATTGTCACTATGAATGAAAGAATAATGTCTGGATAAATTAGTAGTATCTCTTTAATCTTATTAAAATAGTCTTCAAAGCATTAAATGCCAAGAAGGTTAAGGAAGAATTTCAAGGTTATAAAGACCAGCATTATTGAGCACACTGTTCCATTGTTTGGTGATGGCATCACTGGTTTCAGGGAATTTTTTTTTTTTTTTTGAGACAGAGTCTCACTCTGTCACCTAGGCTGGAGTGCAGTGGCGCAGTCTCGGCTCACTGCAGCCTCCACCTCCTGGCTTCAACCAATTCTCCTGTCTCAGGCTACAGAGTAGCTGGGATTACAGCGCCCGCCACCACGCCCGGCTAATTTTTTTGTATTTTTGGTAGAATGGGGTTTCGCCATGTTGGCCAAGCTGGTCTCGAACTCCTGACCTCAGGTGATCTGCCCACCTCGGCCTCCCAAAGTGCTGGGATTACAGGCATAAGCCACCATGCCCAGCCTGGTTTCAGGGATTATTAATGGTTGGAAACAGTTTTTTGCAAATTTCAGGTGCTTATAAGAATGAAAATATATAATGGTTGTTTGATTGTTGTGGGTCTGTGAATGCAAGCAGTGGCTAGCACATATAAAACAGCTGAATTTCTTCATGGGATGATGTAGAAAGCCATAGCATATTTGACTAGAATATAATGTTCACCACAACAAATAGTGCACAAAGGACTCTGATGGAAAAAATCCAAGTTACTGAATATAGTACAGTAAAACAGTGGTTACAGAGCCCCAGAGAGTAAGGCAGTCATGGTTTATCTCAGCTTGCTATGTACTATTTAGCTTGAGAAAATTAGCTCAAATCTCTATTCCTCAGCTTTCTCAACTGAGATAAATATAACAATAGTACCTACTTCTTTTGTTCATTCAACAAGTACTTATTAAGTGCCTACTACTTGTCCCAGGCATCAAAGATACTGCAGTGGGGGCTGGGGGAGCAGACAAAACTCTGCCCTCATTGGCTTTCATGAGGGTGCTAGACAGTAAATAAGAATCAAGCATTGATTGAATATGTAGATATGTGTATTCAATGTATAGACTGCGATAAATGCCAAAAAGAAAACAGAAAAGTAGTGGAAAGGGAATGTAAGGTGTTGAAATGGAGAATAAAATAGAAATATTCGATAGGGAATACCTCCCTGAGAAAGGTTACTGTGAGGAATGTATATGAATAATGCATGTAAAGCATTTAGCAGAGTACCTGGCATATATAAGGACTCAATAATTAGCAGGCTAGGTGCAGTGGCTCACGCCTGTAATCCCATCACTTTTGGGAGTTTGAGGAGGGAGGCTCGCTTGACCTCAGGAGTTTGAGACCAGCCTGAGTCTGTAATTGTGCCAGCATTAGCAAATGACATGCAGTTGCCACTGCACTCCAGACTGGGCAACAGAGCAAGACCCTGTCTCAAAAAAAAAAAAAATAGCAGCTATTTATTATATATGTGATACTAAGGAAAAGGTAAGTCAGTTGGCTTAACACTAATCAAAGTAAGTTGAAGATTATGACTAATGAAAAAAGTATTCGGGTGTGTGTGTGTGTATAAGCCTATATCCAGAGACTGGTTGATGTTTTTTATTCATTGCAAATGGAATCTCCTCAACTATGAACAATTTAATTTTCTGAGCTACTTACCAAAACTTGTACTGTTATATAATCAAATGTGTTTTGTGTTTGATTTTATTTTTATGTTTTACTTTACATTAAACATTAGCTGATCTCTTGTGCTATTTGGGTTAATAGTCATAAATTAAATGACTCATAGTTACGTTGAATGACTTTTACATTTGAGGCCTTGTATTTGTTGTTAAAACCATGACTGATATACAGATTTAGGAAAATTAATTTGTATTCCACTTTCAACCTGTAAATCATGGATTACCTTCTAGGCTATTATTTTTATCCCTTTTTTAATTTTTTATTTATTTTTTATTTTTTAAGAGACAGAGTCTTGTTCAGTTGCCCAGGCTGGAGTACAGTGGCATGATCATGGCTCACTGTAACTTTGAACTCTTGAGCTCACACAATCCTCCAGCTTCTTGAGTAGTTGGGACTATAAATGTGCACCACCATGCCTGGCCAATTTTTAAATTTTTTTGTAGAGACAAGATCTGGCTATATTGCCTAGGCTGATATTGAACTCCTGGCTTTAAGCAATCCTCCCACCTCAGTGTCCCAGTCTGCTGGGATTACAGGCTTGGGCCACTGTACCCAGCCCATATCTATCCTTTGTGTATCTGGATCATCAAGACTTAGATGTCTGAGTACTTAGATAAAAGGACCATGAACTTAAAGCTCAAGATCTTTTGTTGCTTGCATAGAATGGAACGCATTGAGAACTAGGTATTACTTAGAATATGGTAAATGATGGCTTACTGCTTTGTGTCTTTCAGTGTGTTGGCATGCATCAGCCCAGAAGCAGTGATCTCTGGATTAAACTGCATGTCATTTGCTAATGTTGGCATGAGTGGCTTAAGCCCCAGTGGTGTGGATTTGAGCATGGAGGCAAATGCTATAGCTCTGAAATATTTAAATGAAAATCAGCTGTCACAACTGTCTCTCACTCGATCAAACCAAAATAATTGTGACCCATTCAGCCTTCTCCATATTAATACAGACAGAAGCACAGTAGGGCTTAGTTTAATTTCACCAAACAACATGTCATTTGCAACCAAAAAATATATGAAGAGATATGGACTCCTACAAAGCAGTGACAATAGTGAAGATGAAGAGGAGCCTCCCGACAATGCAGATAGCAAGAGTGAACATTTGTTGAATCAGAACCATACATCCATACCTGAACAGCTTGGTGGTCAGAAAGAGCCTTCTAAGAATGACCATGAAATAATTAATTGTTCTAACTGTGAATCTGTGGGCACCAACGCAGATATGCCAGTATTAAGAAATATTACAAATGAAGTTTTGCAGACAAAAGCAAAACAGCAGTTGACTGAAAAGCCAACTTTCTTATTAAAGAACCTTAAACCAAGTCCTGCAGTGAACCTTCGAACCGGGAAAGCAGAGTTCACTCAACATCTTGAGAAAGAAAATGAAAGGGACATTGCAATTTTTCCTGAAAGTCTGCAACCTTCTGAAACTCTAAAGCAGATGAATAGCATGAATTCAGTAGGCACCTTCTTAGATGTAAAACATCTCAGACAGTTACCAAAATTATTTTAACCTTTTAACTCCCTGCTCTTTTAATACAGGGACAGGGTGTCTCCTGAAGATACTTAGGGAAGCCAGAGAGCCTTGTGGTAGTTTTGGGATTTCCTGATCATTCTGGAGTCAGTCTGTTTCTTGGTAGCAGCCAACTGGGAAGAGTGACTTTTTCTGTGAGATGGCTGACTAGTGATAGGACTAAGTTCTCATTGTTCAAATAGAGTTGTTCAACATCACTGAAACCTTTAAGAAAAACAAACCCCGAGATCAGTTATTCCTACAAATTTAAGTAGATAAATACTACCCAGCTCTGAGTCTCAACTGCTCTTTTATACTGTACTTTTTTTACTTTTTTTTTCTTTTCTTTTTTTTTTTTTTGAGATGGAGTTTTGCTCTTGTAGCCCAGGTTGGAGTGCAGTGGCACGATCTCGGCTCACTGCAACCTCTGCCTCCTAGGTTCAAGTGATTTTCCTGCCTCAGCCTCCCAAGTAGCTGGGATTATAGGCATGTGCCACAACGCCTGGCTAATTTTGTATTTTTAGTAGAGACGGATTTTCTCCATGTTGGTCAGGCTGGTCTCAAACTCCCGACCTCAGGTGATCTGCCCGCCTCAGCCTCCCAGAGTGCTGGGATTACAGGCGTGAGCTACTGCACCCAGCTATACTGTACATTTTAAGAAGTTCTAGCATGTTTCATCTCTGCATTTATCCCATATCACTACAAGAACATAAGTTATCATGGTATTGGGTAAATTAGCGAAATCAGCCCTTTCTGAGTTTAAGGGAAAAGTTATTTTTGAAAATAATAAAAATAACACACTCTTTTATACAAGAGTATTTCCTCTTAATTAGGATGCATGTTTAGTAAACTCTGGAGATACAACTTTTTGCAGTGTGGTGGGTTGGTTTTAGTGTAACATCGTCAACATGTCACGCTGGCTATCAAAGAATAAGAAAATTATTGAGTATGAGTATGTTTTATAAACTTTCTGAGTTTTTCAAATGTCTTAATATTTTTTAATAGAACTTAATAAAAATGTCTAGATTGACTATTTTCCTTTGTTCTCTGTTATAGTTTATTCCACACTTTTTAAAAAACTCTTAGCCTGCCCCCAAATTACAAAAATAATACAGAGTTCCCATATACTCTTCTTCCAGTGTCCTCCAGTGATAATATTGTGCATAAGCATAGTAAATGAACAAAAGCAAGCAATTGACATTGGCTATAATGCTAATAACTGAACCACAGACCTCTCAGGTTTCACAAGTGTTTACATGCACTCATTTATTTACTTTTTGGTGTATAGCTGTATGAAATTTTACCTTTTTTTTCCTTCAAGATGGAGTCTTGCTCTGTTTCCCAGGATGCAGTACAGTGGCGTGATCTTGGCTCACGGCAGCCTCTGTCTCCTGGGTTCAAGTGATTCTTCTGCCTCAGCCTCCCGAGTAGCTTGGATTACAGGCATACACCACCACGCCTGGCTAATTTTTGTAGTTTTAGTAGAGACGGGGTTTCACCTTGTTGGCCAGACTGGTCTCTTAACTCCTGACCTCGTGATCAGCCCACCTCAGCCTCCCAAAGTGCTGGTTACAGGCGTGAGCCACTGCGCCTGGCTGAAATTTTGTCTTTTATAGAATCACATAACTACTACCATAGTCAGCATACAGAACTATTCCATCACCACAAACTCCCTAGTGCTAGCCTTTTGAAACACAGTTTCTCCAACCCTAACCTCCAACAGCCAGTGATCTGTTCTCCACCACTAGAATGTTGGCATTTTGAGAATCTTTTATATAAAAGGAATCATACAGTGTGTACCTTTTTAAAATTGGCTGTTTTCACTTGGCATGATGTCCTAAGATACATCCAAGTCGTTGAGTGTATCAGTTCTTTCCTGGCACATCCCCCGCAACCTTTTTTAAAAGGTCTTAAATTGTTATATTTGAATATAGATGAGAGTCTTCATTGACTTGAAAGATAAAGCTTTTCTGATGAAGTTAAATTGAGATGTCGTTGTTTCATATCAAAGTTGATATGTAAACTGGAAATACATAGACTTTGGATCCATTTTCAACCCAACTGTGGCTTTCCAAGACAACCTGATACCGCTTTATAGTAGCAAGCCCAAATATAGCAACATGGTGGCTCCCTACTGTTCCCCACTGGAGCCACGGACCAGTTAGTGCATCTTTCCCTACATCATTGCTCTTTCAAGTTAAAATTAAGACATGTAAATGGCTATGATGATTAAAATTAAGACATGTAAATGGCAATGATGATTAAAATTAAGACATGTAAATGGCAATGTCTTGCCCTGTGTTTCCATGCACATTGTTTGGGGCTTTAGTTATTTTAATAAATAGCATAAAAATTTGCTTACATGTTTTATTGGAGTAAGTTTACATAATGGAATTGTCAATGCCACTTCAAGTGTCTTCTGTTTAGCCCTCAGTTTCACTCAACGAATGTAGGTAAGATTTATATTGCACACTATTGAAACAGAGAAAGTGAATTAACTGACAGCCTCATCAAGTACCTTTATCACTGGGAGTCCTGTAATGTTTATACCAAACAAGAAGCTATCTTAATAGTAAAAATGGAGCCTAAGCTTTTTAGGCAAAGTCTAATTTGATCACTTATTATCACATCTAATTTAAGGCCATATCTAATTCTTTTTGAGACAGAGTCTTACTTTTTCACCCTGGCTGGAATGCAGTGGCATGATCTCGGCTCACTGCGACCTCCACCTCCCGGGTTCAAGTGATTCTCCTGCCTCAGCCTTCTGAGTAGCTGGGACTACAGGGGTGTGGCACCATGCCCAGCTAATTTTTGTATTTTTAGTAGAGACACGGTTTCACTGTGTTGGCCAGGCTGGTCTCGAACTCCTGACCTCAGGTGATCCACCCACCTTGACCTCCCAAAGTGCTGGGATTACAGGCGTGAGCCACTGCACCTGGCCAAGGCCACATCTAATTAAAATGTCTAAGGAGTTTTGGAGCCTGAATTTAGACTGCAGATTAATTCAACAGAACAATGTCTCTTTCTACTAAACATGTGCCAAGAGAAGAGGAACCATTACTGAAGCCTACTCTAGAAGGTGTTCTACTATGAGAAGGTTGATAGAGTTTGGATGTTTGTTCCCACCCAAATCTCGTGTTGAATTGTAATCCCTAATGCTGGAGGTGGGGCCTGGTGGGAGGTGTTTGGGTCACAGGGGCGGGTCCCTCATGGTTTGGTGTTATCTTCAAGATAGTGAGTTCAGGTGAGATCTAGTCGTTTAAAAGCTTAAAAAGTGTATGGCGCCTACCCCCCTCCCCACCACTTCAAACCTCCTTTCTTTATAAATTACCCAGTCTCAGATGTTTCTTTAGAGCAATGCAAAAATGGCCTAACACAAGTTATTTGGTAAATTAGTTGCTATGATAACTTTTAGGCATCTTTAGAGAAAGCATTAGTACTGCGAAAATTGGATTTTAAAATTTTAGGCTGGGCGCGGTGGCTCACGCCTGTAATACCAACACTTTGGGAGGCCAAGGTGGGTGGATCACCCCAGGTCAGGAGTTCGAGACCTTCCTGGCCAAGATGGTGAAACCCTGCCTCTGCTAAAAATACAAAAATTAGCTAGGTGTGGTGCTGCACCCCTATAGTCCCAGCTACTTGGGAGGCTGAGGCAGGAGAATCACTAGAACCTGGGAGGCAGAGATTGCAGTGAGTCGAGATTGTGCCACTGCACTCCAGCCTGGGCAACAGAGTTAGATTCTGTTCTCAAAAAAGAAAAAAAAAAAAAACTTTGGAGATACTTGCCTCTCAAGTGACATATCTCTGAATTTCTTTCCTCCAGTCCTGCAACATACTGTTTATAAGATAACATGGATGCTACTTCAAAATGGCATAGGAAAATGATGGAACTGATATTACCTAACTTCTGGGTAACAAACCCGTTAGTGCGAGTCCTGGCCAGTTGGCAACCACTCTTATCCCACTTCGCCAAAAGTCTCCTCACTCAACCTCTAATCCCCTTGCCGATTAGTTTAAATCAGTAACTACTCCATGCTCCACTTTTGTCCTCTGCCTTATCCTGCCCTGTGCTAAGCCCCCCAGAAGTGGATGTAGACATTTTAAACAGTATCCTTTAAAATGTAGACATTTTAAACAGTAACAGCAAGGATACTGTTTAAATCTTTACCTTTACCAGCTGTAAAGATTCCACGGAAAACAGATATACCCAGGAAATAGTCACAAGAGTTATGAGAGTGTGACGAAAAGCCATCATGAGTGATCTAGATTCTAAGGAGCCACAACAATGTACTGGTGATCATGTCCGTCTTTTTAAGACTTACTGTGTGCTCACAGGTCATTGTGCAGAGCACTTCACATGCATTAGTTCATTTAAGCCTCTTGGCTGACCCCAGTTGGTGATAGCTATGGTTTGAATATCTGTCTCCTCCAAACCTCATGTTGAAACTTAATCTTCAATGTGGCAGTGTTGAGATGTGGGGACTTTAAGAGGCGATTGGGTGATGAACCTTCTGCCCTCTTAAATGGGTTAATCCGTTCATAGATTCATGGATTAATGGTGGCTTTATAAGAAAAGGAAGGCCAGGCCTGGTGGCTCATGCCTGTAATCCCAGCACTTTGGGAGGCTGAGACGGGCGGATCACGAGGTCAAGAGATTGAAACCATCCTGGCCGACATGGTGAATGGGCGTGGTGGTGCGTACCTATAGTCCCAGCAACTCGGGAAACTGAGGCAGGAGAATCACTTGAACCTCGGAGGCAGAGGTTGCAGTGAGTCCAGATTGCGCCACTGCACTGCAGCCTGGCAACAGAGTGAGACCCTGTCTCACAAAAAAAGAAAAAAAAAAGGTAGAGAGACCCGAGCTAACATGCTCTTGGATGCATCCCTCACCTTGGATGCCCTGTGCCACCTCGGGATTCTGCAGAGTCCCCACCAGCAAGAAGACCCTCACAAGATGCAACCCCTCAACTTTCAACTTCTCAGCCTCCATAACTGTAACA